TTTTTAGGCTAGGTGTGAAATGTTGTACTTGTACAATAACATTAAGTTCATATATAAGTACTATTAATAAAGAATAAAGATGTTATTTGCTTAATTAGTCCGACACTTGCCGACGTGAAAGTCTACATCTATTATTAGTCCGACAATTATTAGGGATAGTTGCCTTTTGTATTAATTGGCTTTCGTGTTATGAACCACAAGAAAAATATAAAATAAAATAAAAATAAAAAATTTGAAAATGAAAGTGCCTATCTTGATGGGTTGGGATTTTGGGAATCGGGATTAGATTTGAAACATACAGTACCAATCTTTAGAATTGGATATGGAACTAAAGTACCCCTAATAATTGAAGTAGTCCCTCTGTGTTTTTTTTTTTTTTTTTAAGTGCTCTAATTTGAGTGGGATAATTATCAATGTGAAAATTTGATTAATAATATCTTTAATTATTATATAAGTATAAATAAAAGATTTCTTTTTAAAAAAAATATAAATAATAAGAAATTTACTTGTAATACATATGGAAACTATGCATTGATGAGATCATTACAACAAGTACTCCCATGAATATATTTAATTTTCACAAACTTTTCAAAAAACCCAGATTACTTTAATTATTGAATGGTGGGCTGCTGACAACTTATTTCTCCTTCTCTTTCAAGGCCCATGACAGCTACTGAAAACAAAAACTTGACGAGATCAACGCCTTCCTCTACTTCAACAGAGTTACTCTGAAATTAATCCAACTTTTCAATCTTCTTTTCTTCCAATTTCAATGCTAAATAAGGTGATAATGAAAATTTCATAATCCCTCCTCCTTTCTCTCTCCTCCCGTCTCCCGATAAGAAAATACACTACAATAATTAGGTTTTATTTCTTCACTTATCTGGGTTGATTTGGGGAAGATGGAGATTGATAAAGTTTACCAAATCAACGGCTAATTCAGGACTCTGGAGTAAATGGTTGAGTACTCTAGTTTTTTTATGCTTATTGGGTAATTTTCAATTATTACCTCTGTTACATATTAGTTGCAACTTTGGAATATTTTATGTCTCTCAAATAATGCCCGAAAGTTGCAACTAATATGAAACGGAAGTAGTAATTTTTTGGTGCTTATTGGGTAGCTTTCAATTGATTAAAGATTAACTATTGGTGAACATAGTAAGGGTAACTTTAATTTAGGTGAGTAAAGAGTAATTTATGTAAGAAAAAGAGTAACTTTATATGAGTTAAGGGTAACTTTTATGAGAAAAAGGATAACTTTTATGAAATTAAGGGTAACTTACTTTTATAAGGTGTTTGGTACAAGGAATAGGGATAAGGAGGATAAAAGGGTTGGATAAGTTTTGAGGATTAGTATGTGGGATAAGGATAAAAAAAAAGGTGGTCTTTTGTTTGGTATGAATTGAGAATTCTATTGGGATAAGTAAGAAAGTTACTTAACTACCCTTACTCAAATCTCTCCTCTTTCTTCATTCTTTCTTTCATTAAGGGTAAAAATGTATTTTACCTCCTTTGATTTATCCCCAACCCTTATACCACCTCCCCCTAGTTATTATTTTGGAGAGATCACTTGTATTTTTATCCTTATCCCCCTCTCCAATGTTATCCCTATCCCCCTAAACAAGCAAAATAATATTTGAATCTCTTTCCTTTTATCTCTTTCCTCCTCTTTCTATCCCACCAAACAAACACCTTCTTAGTCTTTTATGCCACACAATAACATTATTGTAAACCGATGTATACAAAAGCTTTTGTTTAATCTTTCGTATAAAGTACAATATTATTGGTCAAAATTTCATGTTGACAGCTATGTCGGTCACATTGAAGTACTTAAAAATAGACAAAAAGTAGATAAGGGAATAGTAGCGGAAATTGAAAAAGATAGATATCTCTACTTTTTTAAAAGTTTGAGATAGTAACACTTATGAATAATGTTTGGACAATTATAACCTTTAAAATGATTATTTACTAATTTGTCCTCATTAATTGCCTTTTTTTTAACACTTAAGAATAGTGTGCACATTTATACCCATACAAGTAAGATAAATGTATTTGTTTACATATTTTCCTCTCATTAATGATACAAACAACTAAAGTTCTAATTTAAGGTCAAATCGAAAGAAATTCTCGGACATGGCTAGAAATGGCATGCGCATCGCACGCGTTAGCCGCCCTAATAATTATAAATAAGATAGATGTATTGGAGGACCCTAAGGATTCGAGACAATCCTTAGGGATTTTCATGCCGTTTTATTTGAGAAATTAGTAGAGTGGTGTGGCCAAGATTAGTTCCAAAGACTTAGCTTTTTGGGACTTCTTAATTGTTGTTTTGGTCTTCTTTTTCGTTGTTTGTTCTGCTTTTTAGTTTGTTTTCTTTCATTTGTTTTGGGGCTTGTTCCTGGTGTTCAAAAAAAAAATGTATCACTTAGAAAATACGAAGGGTTTATTACAAAGTACTCTGTACCTATTTAGCTTAAGCTATATAACTTTAAAGTAGGATGACATTAGATTTGGTCGTAAAATAAGGATGACACTAGGATCGGTTAACAAGTTGCACGGCAGAATCTAGTATAGTAAAAGGCCGACATAACACGTGTTATCATTATTTGCTCTATTTTAATGAGTATTGCTCCAAATTACTTAATTAGATGGACAAACGCAAATCCACATCAAATGATATCATGTTGTTGTGTCATCAACTTAAAATCAATGTAATTGTTTTTAGGCATATGAAATTAACAAGGAAAGGAAAATGAAACTTAGTAAGAAGGATCGGTATGATAAATAATTGTATGAAGTATGATTCCCTTTGTTTCTAAACTAAAATTTCGTTTCTTTTAAAACTCGAGTCTCTAATCAAAAAGTCTTTGTAAAACAATCACCGTCCTAATAGAAAGACCTTTTACAGATGTAGGAAATAATTTTTTTACTACCCTATGTATTAGCCATACAATTGTTAACTGAGTAGCCTTCTACAACAAAATAGAATAGCAGCCAACAAGGCAACAAGTATATCGCCTTTACACTAGTTAAGTAGTACACAATAGACCTGGCAAATGGGTCATTCAGGTCGGGTATGGATCGGGTCAAATAGGTATCGGGTCAAGTTCGGGTCGGGTCGGGTCATCTCGGGTTTCGAGTTGATTTCGGGTCGACTGATAATCGGGTCGGGTCGGGTATCGGTCAACACTTCGGGTCAGGTCGAGTTCGGGTCGGGTCAATTTTCGGGTGCAAATTTCGGGTCAACTTCGGGTCGGGTCATATTCGGGTCGATGCACTGGGTTTAATTCAACTCTGTAGATATATTTATTTATATTTTAACGAGAAACTCACTATATTTATTAAAGCTACTTTTTTCATGGAATATACTCATATAGTAATTGTCAGACTTTTATTGACCTTTTTTTTTGGTGTTTAGATTGAGAATCAATTTTAGGATCTCCTGAAACTAAGAGGGATGCTCTAACTAATTGAGTTATACCTCACTCTCTTATTGTCCTTAGCTTTAATACTCTTATTATCATTGTCACTGTTCACTGTTGTAATAATTTATTTGTATTATTCTTATAATAATCTATAATATAATCTATGTTTTTTAAGTGCTCCATTAATTTTAACTGGACATACATTGATACATGTATGCAAGGCATGTCGTGCAGGAAATTGATCAATAATAGACTTCCTATTATAATAATCAGTAATTTACATTATACAATTTTACCAATTGAATATTCTTAAAATATTTATTGTGGTGGCGATTTCAACAAGTACACACAATGACACAAGAGTGACAAGACTATATTTTTTTCTAATAAAGACTTAAAGAGTAGTAGCGTGGATGGACACCAAGTCGCCAAGTACACTTACTCGCACTGTGAACTTTTCTTAACCGATTCGATCAGATATATATTATGACATGCTTCATTTGAAATTAAATTTACTGATAAATTGCAAATTATGAGGTCAAACCAGCCAACATATACTCAATTTTATTTTTGTGACTGATTCAATCAAAAATAGGTTATAACATGCTTCGTTTGATAAAAAAAAAGTTTATTGTTAATTAGGAATTCAAACAAGTCAACTTAAACTCGATTGTAATTAGTTCTTAAAATTACATGCTTTAATTTATATTGTATAATAATATATGTGATCAAGTACTTAAACATAAGGGTGGAAAACGACACAAAATTTTATTATAAAGTTGATTAACAACATTATTGTAAACCTATCCGATTCCAATTAATTTTTTTCAAAAACGAAACTCATAACAAGGTTTTTCCTGTTTAAGGTAATTTGATCTCAAATTCAAACTTGATAACATTATATTAAACCTTTTTATGGCTACTTAATAGCTCAGTCTCTGACTCTTCGGTCTAAATTACTTCATAGGATGTCTCATCACTATCAGTATATTATGAACTAATGAATTATGAAGTATGCACTTATGCAAATTTGCTTGTATCTATCTACTACTCAATTAAACAACTAAACTAATGTAATAAATGAATATTACTTTTTGATTGAATATAAGATCATTATCGTGCATTATATATTGATGTTTATATTTATAGAAACAAAAACTTATTCAGTTATAAACTTATAATGACTAAGTGTTGGGTAATTGGTGCACAACACAATATGATACTTCCTCCGTTTCTTTTTAGTTGATACATTTCTTTAGTCACGTTTGCTAATACATAACTTCAACCATTTATATCCTTAATCACCGATATTAAAAAATTATGAAAAGTTGATATTTTGAAAATAAATATCGTGACGTATGTTACAAGATCCTACATAACTATATTTTTCATTACATATAAAAACACAAAATACGGTTAAAGAGGAGTGTGTGAATAAAGTCAAAACATGTCAACTTAAAAAAACGGAGGTATTATTAATTAAGTGAAATATTCTCATATTCAAATATAAGATTATGAACACACTTGTTGATGATTTAAAAAATTTCAAAATTTCAATTTTGACCAAGTTACAACTTAGAAGTAAAAATTTAAGAGGGAAACAAAAATAAAACATTTAATTTGGTTAAAAATTGTGGGAAATTCTTCCCCCCAAATGGCTAAAACTCCAAAATTGTTAGGGGGAAAACTCCCTCCAAATTTCCAAGAGTAAAACGTAAAAGTAAAGTAGTAAACTAGTAAAGTGACTAAAAAAAATAACCTACTCGTCTTCCTCAGCCATTTTCACTCTCTCTTTTGTCTTCACTCTTTTGACTTCTCAAATCTTATGCTACTCATCTGATCTCAAGCGCTCCGGCAAGGCAAGGTTTCCCTCTTTCTATCTTCCTCTTCTTTATTGCGGTTTTTTGTTTCAAATTTTATGATTTTCAATTCAAGTTTTGTGATTGATTGATGTTAATTTGATACTTTGAGATTAGGTTTTGATTTTGCAATTTTTTTCACTTATACAAAGCCAATTCATGAGCTTCATGTACTCGAGGTGCGCTTAATTTGATTTGCATGTGGTTCTCCATTCCCTCAGTTGAAGCGCGCCTTCTAAGCTTTCTCTCCTCCATTGAAGCGAGCCTTTGAGGTAAAGATTTTCTTTTTAGATTATTGAATATCAATTAACTTCTCAATTTAGAGCTGAATTTCAGATTATCAGATTTAAGCTTTAGTAAAGATTCATGAGATTTTTGAAGGTATATAAAAACAGAAGGTTGATTTTCCCTTTTTGATTAGTTTAGATATTATTATTGATGTTATTCTTGCTTTTTTTTTGCAGCAATGAATGATCATATTATTTACGACGAGCCTATTATTTCACCAGAGGGAACAGAGGATAAGTGTACACCAGAGGAAGAAGCCAATGTTCATACACAAGAGGAAGAAGCTGGTGATCCTGAACCTACAGTTGACAACAACAATGTGAGCACTATGGAATCTGGATTTCAAGTTGTAGAAAAGAAACGGAGTCTAGTTTGGCCGGAATTCCTCACGTTTGAGTGTTTGACAAGACGGAATCTAGTGATGGGAAACAGAGCTCAATTTGCAAACGTTGCCAAAAAGAATCCTTCATAACCGACCCCCATTATGGAACCCAAAATATGCAAAGACATCTAAGAAAATGCAGTGCATATGAGAGATATTTGAAAAACCAAGGAGGAAACGGTTCAAACAAAGGTAAAATCTTTAACCAAATTGTGTACATAAATCTGGTAGCTAAAGCCATAATAAAACATGGGTATGCTTTCTCTTGGGTTGAGCATGATGGTAATAGAGAAATTCATGCATATTTAAGTGATGATGTAAAATTCATTTGTAGGAACACAGCTAAAGCTGATTGTTTAAAAATGCATAAAACTTTGAAGGCTCAGTTAAAGGAAACACTTAGTAAAGTCTCTAGTCGTATCTCATTAACATGTGATATGTGGACCTCTTGTCAAACTGAGGGATATTTGTGTCTCACAGCTCACTATGTGGATGATAATTGGAAATTAATTAGTACAATGATGAACTTTACTCATATTGATTCACCACACACTGGAAAGACCATGTATGCTGTTGTGTTGTCCATGCTTCAAGATTGGGGTATTGATGATAAGATTTTTTGCTTCACATTAGACAATGCCTCTAGTAACGATAGAATGCAAGATTATTTGAAGGAAACTCTACTTGCACGAGATGCTTTGTTGTATAATGGTGAGTTTTTTCATGTACGATATGCTGCACATGTATTAAATCTCATTGATAAAGATGGACTTAAGGTCATTGAACATATAGTTGAGAAAGTAAGACATTGTGTCAAGAAGGTAAAATATTCTGAAACAAGAAAAAACACTTTTCGATCTTGTGTAAGTCTAGCTAAGATAAAAGAAACAAAATCATTGTGGCTTGATGTTCCTACGAGGTGGAACTCCACGTACATGATGCTTGATAGGGCTATCTTAATTATATCGTGAGGCTTTTAGGGAGACGTCTGAAGTTCAAAAATGGTGTCATACCTTTGAAGAGTGGGATGTTCTTGAGAAGATTCGAGATGTTTTAGAACCCTTCTATGAGATAACTAAGATGTTCTGGGGAAGTGAGTATCCTACCTCAAATCTTTATTTTGGGAATTTTTGGAAGATTCTCATGATTTTGATAGAGTTGGAGCACGATGATGATGATGTTTTGAGGACAATGGCAATAGAAATGAAGAGCAAGTTTGATAAGTATTGGTTTAACTCAGAACAAGATGATTATGGAATGTTATTTGCATTTGCTATGATTCTTGATCCTCGTTGCAAATTATCAGTGCTAAAGTTTTGTTATGAAAACATATTTGGAGATGTTGGAGCTACCTTGAGAGTTAGTGATCTTCATCTTAAGTTGGAGAAATTTTATAAGCTATATGCCCAAACTGGAACATCATCGACATTGAACAACAACACTGATATGGCACATGCCTCACATTGCAGAACCTCCCTAAGCAGCACTTCAATTGGAAACCGCAAGCGAAAATTCGACTATTTTGCGGTAATTGTTCTTCTGTTATTTTATTTTGACAACCTTTGCTCCTTCTGGTTCCCTCTTCTTGTGGTTTGTTGTTGCCTAGGATGCTGCTTGGGTGCTGCTTGATAATTGATGCCTGCTGCCTCTAGTTTTGAGCAATGTCGCCGCTGCCTTGAGCCTGTTGTGTAGCTGCTGCTTTGTTGGGTTTCTTTGTTTGGTCTGGTTGTTGTTGATTTGTGGCTGCTGCTTTGCTGGTTCTTTTGTTGTTGTTGTCTGCCTTTTTTTGTCTTTCATGCTACTGTTACCAGGTTGCTTGCTATTTTAGCACTTCTGTAAAACCACACACCTGAGTTTAAATAATTTTAGTAGGTCATTATGTGAAATTACTAGTTATAATACCTGGCTATTTTTGAATTCAAATCAGAATTTTATTAATATTAATCCAGGGTTTGTCCATTGCTATTACAAAATTAAATATCACAAACTAAAATAAAATAAAACATAGGGCAACGTTTGCTCCTTCTGGTTCCCTCTTCTTGTGGTTTGTTGTTGCCTAGGATGCTGCTTGGGTGCTGCTGATAATTGATGCTGCTGATTTGTTCCTGGCCATCTTGCCTGCTGCCTCTGGTTTTGAGCTATGCTGCTGCTGCCTTGAGCCTGTTGTGTAGCTGCTGCTTTGTTCGGTTTCTTTGCTTGGTCTAGTTGTTGTTGATTTATGGCTGCTGCTTTGCTGGTTCTTTTGTTGTTGCTGTCTGCCTTTTTTTGTCTTTCATGCTACTGTTACCAGGTTGCTTGCTGATAAGTTTATGTTGTTTTGTTTGGTGATGTGTTTTATGGTTTGTCGTTGACTCGTTGTGTTGAATTCAGGAATATGACGATAAAGAGGCCTCATCTTCTTTTCATGATAGGCCAATATTGGATGTTTACCTTGAGGACCCTAAACTAGATCGGAAAGCGGAACTTGACATATTAGTTTTTTGGAAAGAAAATGAGCATCGATATAAAGGCCTTTCTCATTTGGCTAGAGATATTTTAGTCGTGCCCTTGACAACCGTCGCTTCCGAATCAACTTTTAGCGAATAAATGAAAAAGTTCATCAATTCCTAAAAATGTGGAGGCTTTAATAACAACTCGTAGTTGGATGTACTCTTTTGAAAGTAAGTTTTATTATATTTTTTTAAAATATGTGCATTCATATTCGTGCACTCTTGTTTACAACTGTACATTCTTGTTTTTTTTTTATTTTTGTATTTATAGTGTATTTGCTTATATTATTGTTTTTATATTTATGTAGCAAATGAGGATGATGGATTTTTGGGTTCTTATGTGGATTGGGCGACGGCTCCCGGTGTTAATTGTAAACAATTTTAAGAGTCGAATATTGGAGTATAATTATTTATAATATTTTGTAATTTCATTTGGAATTGAACATTATGTACGCATTATTATTGTACTATTTTTTTTTTCTAGACTTGTGAGAATTGTGACTTTTATTTCAAGCTTTAGTAAATTTTTTCTCATTCTTATGGACAAACTCCGTAGAATAGTCGTTAAATTTCAATCTTCTTACAAATTTTTAATAACTTATAAAGAGAAAAGGCCAAAGAAATCGAGAAAAGTAATGCTCAAAATATGTAAATTACTTAGACTGTTAGTCTGTTACACATTACAAATTAAAAAAAAAAATTAAGTCAGTTTGATTGCGGTTATTTTCTATTTCGGTTTGCTCAGGTCAAATCGTTAGCTTAAATAGATTCTGGTTATTTCAGGTATAAGGTAATCTTAATTCGGGTCACTTTGAGTTTCGAGTCTATTTGGGTCAATTAATCCAAGTTAAAGGTCGGGTCACTTCGGGTCGGGTCAAGTTCGGGTCTCGGGTCGGGTCATTTTGGGTCTCGGGTCAACTTTGGGTCGGGTCATTTCGGGTCGGCTCATTTCGGGTTTCGGGTCAAGGTTGGGTCAATTCCACTTCGGGTCGGATATGGATCGGTCGGGTTGATTTCGGGTTTCGGGTCAATTTTGGTAACTGTTTTTCGGGTCAATTTCGGGTCATGGGTCGGGTTTGCCAGGTCTAATACACAATAGATCTGGCAAATGGGTCATTCGGGTCGGGTCAGGGTCGGGTCATTTCGGGTCAGCTAACATTCGAGTCGGGTATGGGTCGGGTCGGGTCGATTCGGGTTTCGGGTCAACTTCGGGTCAGGTATCGGGTCAAGTTCGGGTCGGGTATGTTCGGGTCGGGTCAAGTATGTTCGGGTCATATTCGGGTTAGGTCAAAATATGGTCGGGTCATGTTCGGGTTGTTTCATTTGTGAATCAAGCTCAAATGAATAATTTTATACGAAGCATATTTTTTGTTATTGTTATAATAAAAACTATCAATTCAGTGTATGAGCTTAGCTACGGTTGAAGATGAACAATTTAAGTTAGATACAAGACATTTTAAGTTCAATTATAAGGTAATTTTAATTTGGGACATTTCGGGTATCGGGTTTGTTTGGGTCAATTTTGGGTATCGGTTCGGGTCAATTTCGGGTCGGGTCAACTTCGGGTCGGGTCAGTTCGGGTGTCGGGTCAACTCCATTTTCGGGTCGAGTATGGGTCGAGTCAGGTCAATTTCGGGTTTCGGGTCATTTTCGGGTCAATGTTTTTGAGTCAATTACATGGTCGGATCATCGGGTCTGGGTCAGAATTTCCAGGTCTATTACACAACGCTTTTAGCCGCTGATCTCGTGCGATTGCGGCAGGAGAACTATGGTACTGCCAGTCTGCCACAGGAGGAGGTTAGAAATACATACTCTTTTCCAACTATGAATCTACAAGGCTGATGATATACATAAGAAATATTGTTCTCCATATATACTCGTATAAAAGTATTTTGATTCGTAAGTATTTTTTCATGTGAAGTGTCATTGTTCTGGCAGAACTAGATTAGCATTAATAATACAATAATAGCCCTCCCTCATCTTTCACCTCATTAAAAAGGGCCCTTAAAATAACTCAAATCGCTATTTGAAATATTGATCGGATTTTCTAATGAAAATGAACTAGGAAGCAGGATTGCAGGAACAAGTTCTCAAATTGGTGTTTTATATGAAATGTTTCAGAAAACCTCAATTTAGTTACCGTAAGAAAAGCACACATTAAACCATCTCCAATGGTGAGACTTGAGGAAGTTTTTACAGGAGAGAGAGTATTTTTTACAAAGGATACCAATAAGTTGGTATCTAAACTTAGCAAATCCAAAAGAAAATTGCTAAGTTAGATACTTAACTTTGAGTCTCATTTGACAAAAAGTGTGAACTCTTTATTAATATTATAATATATTTTGTAATTTATTTAAGTTTTATTTTTATTTTATTTTTGAAAAACTTACAATATGGATTTGGTGGGCCAAAAATTAAAAGTGACATTAGTATACTTTGAGTCTCACCATTGGGAAATTAGATTCCACATGAGTTGCTAAATTGAGAAGTGGGTTGGGTATTAACATTAGAGGTAAAAAACAACTCATTTTGTATTTCAATACTCAAAGTTGAGTCTCACCAATGGAGATGGTTTTAGCCTGCTGTTAGAGAGGACAGTGATTTGGATGAACAGAAACTACTTCAGGAAGGCAATGAAAGAAAGAGATAACAATGCTGTTCAAGTTAGTAATGAGCAGAAATTGTGCAACCGTAAAGGAAAATGTGGTTTCTATGATCAGGAGAAAGAACACTAAAAGCATATCGATACATGGAACTCCTCAAGAGCGAGCAGCCACCGTGCACGATATGAAGGAGAATGCAGCAGTAGCTCCTAAAAGGCTGCAAATGGTTGGTGCAATGAACTGTAAAACCACAAAGGCTGGCTTTGGAAAACATCCACAAGTAATTTCAGTAGTCCTGCAAGCTATCAGTTTTTTTAAAGAGTGGCATTTAGAAAGGGCAGTAACTTAGCATAGACCATTACACCTCTGGATAATACTTTTGCAGATCTCTGCATATAACTAAATTGTGGATTAAAGCTTCTTGATTAGTCATTTGATGAATTTATGCGTGTACCTGCTTAGAATGGGATGAAGACCATAGTGATAACAAATAAGTTCAAACTAAGATGTATCGACCTCATAGATGAGGGGGAAAAAATCATTAGAACAGCATGGCACAGCTTACAAATGAGAAATTCATCATTCTTTTTGGAAATAATAGGCTGAGATCTTGACAAAAACGAGGATATAACATAAAAATGACTAGCATTTGACCACTAGATTCCTGAATTATACACTCATTGTTATAGCATACACCTGCATATCCAACATCCAAAAGTTAAGCTGACATAATGAAGTATTTACACTAGTAAACTACATCCATAACATGATCATGCTTGCATTCAAAACCTAACCATAAATTCTCACTCCGTTGGTGATTGTCAAGTGTAAATTTATGCATCAGGCAAAAGAACAGAGTTCGGAAATGAATCACTCCCATTGTTAGGTGCTCCTTCTATGTTGAGTATCGAAGTAACCAGATTATATATCTGGACATTTTCGAATGAAGGCACCTTTCTTCCCCTCGCAAACTTAGGACCATGAGCCATGAAAACAGTCCTCATGGAGAAGAACGCGTTATCATAACCATGAGCACCTCCACATTCATTCTTGTTAGAGTTTTTCTGCTCAACTTTGTAACCCTCTTCAAGAAGCCCAATTATAGGCGGAATCCTATAACTATCAGCATAATGAAGCCTACTAGGGAGATCTTCCTTAAGAAAAACCCTCAAATTCTTCCCATTCTCAACTTTCCCTGATTGCAAACCCTCATTCATCTTCGCGACAATCTCCTTAGCAGAAAACTCCGGTGGAGGGCTAATCGCAAGCAACGGAGTATAAGATTGAACCCAATCCAATTTAATCTCAACCCAAGGAGCTAAATCATCCAAAAATATCAACTTCCTATCACAAGTACCAACCATCCCATGATCACCCACCATTATAACATTAACATCCTCAAACACCCCTCTTTCCTCCAACCCCTTAATCAATCTCCCAATCATCTCATCAATCCTAACCACGGCCCGAGTAATCTCCGGGTCATCCGGCCCAACCTGATGACCCTGATGATCCGGGTCCTCAAAATACAATGTCATGAAAACCGGAATTTCCTCACTTGGCAAATCAAAATAACTAATGATCTTATCAACACGATCCTCAAAAGGCACAGATCCATTATAATGTTCACAATAATAATCAGGACAATTCCAATCACCTTTAGTTACCTCAGAACCAGGCCAAAAATACGTCGCCGCCTTCTCGCCGCGCTTGGCCACGGTCTCCCACAAGGGTTCTCCGAGCCACCAGTGAGGTTCATGACTAGCCATTGAGAACTTTTCACCTGTCTTAGGATCAACAAAGTAATTATTAATAATTCCATGATAAGCTGGATATAAACCCGTTACAATTGAGTAATGATTAGGGAATGTTAATGTAGGAAAAACAGGGATTAACCCAAGTTCAGCTTCAGTGCCATTGTTGATAATTCGATGAATGTTGGGTGTCGGAGCTTTGAACTGGTACCCGAATCGAAACCCGTCTGATGAAATCAACAGTACGACGGGGCGGGTCAGTTTAGTGAGACGACGAGCAGTGATATTATTATTAATTGACGATCCGTCGGTAGCGGAGAAGAAAAGAGAAGCGAATGCGATAGCCGTGATGACAGAGATGAATGTGGTGAGGAGGAGAGAGAGAGTGAGGAATTTGGAATGGGAAGTGGGGTTTGGGGAAGTGGGTGGATCTGTGTCGAAGGAGAGGAGGGCTGTTTTGGAGTTTGGGTGGATAGTTGGGAAGGTTGTTGAGTGGTGGAGATCTGAGGACTCCATTGATGGGAGTGGGATTAAGGTTTTGGGTATGGAGGAGGAGAGAGAAAATGGAGGAAGATGAAGATGATGGAATGGGATTGGGATTAAGGTTTTGAGTTGAGGAAGATGGTGAAAGACTGAAAGAAACGTTGAAATTGGTGGGAAGGATGTAGTGGATTAGTGGTTGGTGGATTACTCTAGGATTTTCTGCCTATTTTTGCTGGTGAGGTTGGGCACAGTAATTCTTAATTACACACTTGTACAGCTAAGTGTCTAAGCTAGCTGCAACAACATATATGAACATATAGTATTTTAAAAACAAACATATGTTTTTTCTCCCTTTTTTATATTTATCCCTCTCTCTCTCTTCTTCTTTCTTACCTCCATTAATTTTCTCTATGTTTTCTTCTCCATTCAAATTTTCTCTCTGTTTTTTTTTTTTTTTCCAAATTTCTTTCTTACCTCACTATCCTTCAATCTTTAAACTTTTTTATCCTCCTACTCTTGATATTCTCCAATTCATCACCATTGTAGCATTCTCCATCATTTTCGTCGCGATCATCACCATTTTTTCCCTTTATTTTCTACATTATTATGGATTTGGTTGTTAAAATAAAAATAAAATAAAAAAAAAAACAAAAAAACATCAACGCAGGTTAGTTTTTGTGTTGTTGATTTTTAATTAGGTTATATTTGGACTGAATTTGTAATTGATTTTTCTGATTTTATAATTTGGTGAATTTCAATTTGAGGAATTTGATGAATTTCAATTGACTTTTTGATGAATCTAGTGAATTTAACTTAATTTTTTATGAATTAATTTAATTAATTAATGAGTTTTTGTGATGAATTGAATTGCTGCATCTTTACTTGTTTGTTATTATGAATTTTGATTTTTTTTTTAATATGAGTTGCTAACATTTGTGTATAATTTTTGGAACAAAAAAAATGAACACGGTGTACTTTAAAATTGAACATTTAGTACACTAAAAAAGAACATTTAGTACATAAAAACTGAACATATTTTAATGATTTATTTTATCTTTATTTTTCGTTAATAATTATATACAATGAATTTGAATTTATATGAATATGAGAAAATCATGTTCATTTTTAATATACTAAATGTTCATAATTTTTTTTTCACGGGTTCATTTTTTTTATACTAAATGTTCATTTTCTTTAATATGTTCATATATTTTTATGAAATGTTCATTTTATTAGATGTAGTCTAGCTATTCTATTATTGTATGATAAATGTTCATTTTTAATATACTAATGTTCGTAATTATTTTTGACATGTTCATTTTTTATTAATAAATTTTTATTTTTATTTTTTTTTTATTTTTATTTATTTATTTTTTCTTACATGTTCATAATTATTTTTACACCAAATGTTCATTTTTAAGGTTGTGGCCTAACAATTTTATGATTATCATGTTTATTTTTAATACTAAATGATCATTTTTTTTTAACATATTTACTTTTTAAGTACTAAATGTTTATTTTTTTATGTGTTCATTTTTTATTACTAATGTTCATTTTTTTTTTTACATGTTCATTTTTTTTACGATATGTTCATTTTATAGGCAGTGGTACAGCTATTCTAGCTACACTAGAGTGCAGCTAAGACTTATGGGCAATGGGCAATTAGGCAATATGCATATTCACTTATTCAGTCACATTTTGGGCCGTATTAATGTTGGCTCGTCATAAAACAACAAAAATTATTTCCAACGTTATTTTTAATTGTACCATTAGTTACATGAATTGAATTTTTTTTTTTCTTTTTTTTGGTGAGGCTTCATGAAATTCTGGATTTGCCGTCGTGATCGTTTTATTTTTAAAACATAAAAACCAACAAAAATAGAAAATTAGAAAAAGTTGTTTAAAATTATCATAATTTTATTAAGTTTGACCAATTTTTGATTCATTATATAGCATATTTTTAAAAAAAAAACAAAAGATAAAAAAAAATTAAAAATAAATAAATAAACAGAAAATTACAGCGATACTGAACATACCCGTATGACTCTGATTCATCTTTATTATTGTTACTAGGTTACCGTATCATGCACGATCTTTCACTGTAAATTAATACTAATATTTTAAAACAGGAAGTTGGAAGGACACTTATCCTCAACCTGTTTTTCTTGTTTAAATTTTTTTTTTTTTAATTTTCCTTTTTTAAAATAACTCTTTCCTTTTTTTTAATTATTTTTTTTTCCATTTTTTTAAAACAAAAAAATTAATGTTGTTTCTATCCTCTTATTCCTTCCATCCCAATTCACAAACACTTCAAAAAAAAAATGATGTATCTGTTCTTATTAGTTTGTAATTCCCAAACGACGCTATTATCCTCTAGTTCTTCACTGCTATTTTATCAATCATCTTTTTCTCTCCTCGCAATTATCGGATTATATTTTTCAAGGTTAGTTATAATTTTCCTTAATTTCTCATATTTTTTTAATCAATTCCTTTTGTGATAATTGTGTTGATTGATGTCGTTGAGGCGACAATTCTTGGATTTGTTGATTACAATGTTGTTTTTGACTGCTGGGACATGATAAATGGATTTAATTGATTGAATGTTGATGGTGTTGAGGGCTTGAGGCAACAATTCTTCAATAATTGGTAATGAATTTAGTTTTTTTTCCCTAATTTAGTTTTACCAATGAATTTAATCTGTATTCCCTCTTTAATACCCTTAATTAAATTTGGGTTAGAATAATGAATTTAATCTGTATTCCCTCTTTACTACCCTTAATTAAATTTGGGTTAGAATAATGAATTTAATCTGTATTCCCTCTTTACTACCCTTAATTAAATTTGGGTTAGAATACTATCTCTCTTGCCTTTTCTCTTTCGCGGTTTGGAGTTTAATCAATTATTTTATTTTTCAAGGTGTTTCATTATTTTGATTTAACTTTTGTTTTTTTGTTTATTTTTTTTTTAAAAAAAAAAAACTTAACAGAAATTTGAGAACATTTTGTCTCAGATGTTTTGTTTTTTGCAATTTCTATATAGCTTGATTTGTCGATTTGTTAGAAACTGCACATGTTTTGTGAACTGTAAAGATTTTAAAAAACATGTTTCATATGTGTTAAGGTTGAATTTGTTCTGATTCTATGTTTTTTTTAAATCTTTACAGTATTAAAAGGATTGAAAATATATATGGTTAGTTAAAGTTTATAAGGCTTGGATCTTATTCCAAATTTATTTTGCTTTAGTTTTAGTTCATTTGGTATCTTCCATAATTTTTTGGGCTAGATGCATGAATAATGTTGTTTGTTCCCTTGATTTTGTTCTCTAATATTAACTTTTCTTTTTTTTGTTAATAAAGAGTAATATTATTATTTGATGGGTTTATTTTTTAAGAAATACATTGATGAATACCTCTATTGTAATTTTTTTTTTTTTTAAGATATATCATAATGAATTCCTCTGTATAATCCTTTCTTTTGTTGACAAATGAAAATCAGATTCAATTGTATCCATAATATAGTTTCATTTTATTTTTTGGATCAGAAGGTGAGATAGGCATGGCTATTCTCCGAAATTTAATGATTCTAAATGTGCTATTTTGAAGTAATAATAGTTTACTTATCTAAAATTTATATTTGACAAAATTCAGGATGAAAAATTGGTAGATTGATTTGGTTTATTTCTCTAAGTATTGTTGATTTATTTATTTATTAATTGTGATTTTGTGTGTTTTGTAAGTGAAATTCATTATGCAAAAATTGAACAATATATTGGATGGTAGCTACATCAATTTTGTAAGGATTAATACAGTTTTTTAATCCCAACTTTGCCTAATTTACTTTCATTAATCCCAACTTTTGATTATTCTGCAATAATCCCAACTTTAGGGTGTCTTTTCTTTCTTCAATCCCGAAAACCGGCAACCTGCTGAAAAGGTTAATTTTGTTTTAATTTTTCTAATATTCCACGTGTTGAACATTTATTTATTGGTCCAAAAAATGAAAACCAAAAAAATAAAAAATAAAACTAAAAAAATTCGAAAAATCACCCTCCCTTTACCAGCCCCACCGTGAACCTCCCCCGTCTCCTCCTCCACACTCCCCAACCCAACCGAAAACCATCACCTTCACCTCAAACTAGCCTCACCTGTGAACCCGCCCCCACCCTCACATTGGAATTCCTACCCCCACCCTGAAACCCCACCGAGCCACCTCTATAACCACACCCCACCGAGCCACCTCTAAAACCACACCCCACCATGAAATCTCACCTAGCCACCCCTAAAACACCACCCTTACACCGAAAACCCCACTACCACTTCGAAACACAAACGCTGCCATAAAACCACACCCTGAAGCCCGCCTTGGATCGGAACCATACCCCCTAAAACCAGACCAGCCACATCGAAACCTGTGCTAGATCGAAACCCCATTCAACCCCTAAACCCATTGAAACCCAGGCTAACTGAAAGGGAAAGAGGTGGGGGTGTTGTTCGGTGAAGAAAGGGTGGGGGGTAGCTTTGGTCCGCTGGTGTGGGGCTACTCCGGTATGAAAAGGGGTAAGCAGGGGAAGGGGGTTGATTTGGGGGTCGGGAAAGGGAGAAGGGGAATGTGGATAGGAGGTGGCTATTTAGGGGTGGTTTCAGTCCGACAGTGGCGGCGATGTAGGGCGCCATTTAGGGAAGGGTGGCGCAAGGGCAGAGAATGGGTGGTCGTTCAGGGGGAGGGGGCCGGGCTGGGGTTTGGAGATTTTTTAACTTTTTTTTTTTGTTTTTTTTTTTAATTTATTTTTGAACCACTCACATATCGACACGTGTCTAGTAACCTATAATAATAGGTTGTTGACTTTTATTGACCGGTTTGAGTATGAAGAAAGATAGGCCACCTTAAAGTTGGGATTATTGAGGAATAATCCAAAGTTGGGATAAATGAAAATAAATTGGTGAAAGTTGGGATTAAAAAACAGTATTAATCCATTTTGGGAGAAGAAATTGTAATATTTTAAGATTTTTTAGTTGATTATTATGTACAAATGATTGTATATTCCTTTGCATTTTCAATAGTGTTAGATAATACTATAACCAAAATTAAAAGTATTAGTGTATAATTATGCTTAATGATGTTTTTGGATGCATAAACAAAAATATAAATTGTTCTTGGCGATAAAAAACACGCATATTTTTTATGATATAATACAACTTTTTAATTAAGAATAATGAATTAAATTATAAGTAGTATTTTCTACAATGCAATTATATAAACATATAATTTGATTTGAATAAACGCAGAGCAATCCAAGTATACAATATTAAAAATCTTTAATCAAATTATTCAAAAATATTTAACGAGCAATTTAAAACTTTTAGATATCAAAAATAATTTGTCAAAATAAAACCTACTACAACAATCAAAATAAAAATCAAGTTTCAAACTCACGACAACTTAATTAATTTCCCGATTCCAAACCAACACCAATTTGTTAACCAAACTACCCTTAAATAGTTTTATACTTTTATCACATAATCACATATACCTTGTGAGACATGTGAGTTGTGACTCTTGCGAGTATTTGCCTATAGGCTATTACACTTGACTTCAAAACTCCCAGTTGCTGCTCTGCAAACACTTGAACAAGAAAGAAAAACAATGGCGTACATAAGCATGGGCGAAGCGCACAGAAGAATAACAGATTACCTCAACAGCTACTCCGACGCCATTGCTACTCAAAACGGACCTTTACTTCGTCGCCTCCTTTCTTTCTCCTCCAACAATCCCAAACTCCTCTCTGTTGCCGACGCTCTCAACATTTTCCAGGTCTTTCTCTTCTTCATCCTAGGGTTTTTGCTTATAAAACTATTTCAATTGTTAATTATTATTATTATTATAATTATTATTCAAGTAATTGAATTTCAATATTGTATTGTATTACAAATTTGTGGGGTATTTTTTTTTTTTTGTTGAATCTTACAGGATGTGAGTAGGTTGATCAGACAATCACATGAAACTTTGGTTCCATTACTTCGATCTTTGCAGTGTTACAAGCTTGGTCAATTGGTTGATGCTTATAATTCCTATGAGAAATTTGCCAAGTATAATACTTTTTTTGTTAATTAATTTGAGATTGATTTATTTTTATTGAATTTTTAAGGCTAGGTTGTAATTTGGAATGGGTGATTGTTTAGTGCATTTATACAGGAATTTCGGAACTGGGAATCGGCGTGGGCGTTGGAAGCGTTATATGTTGTTGCTTATGAGATTAGGATTATTGCTGAGAGGGTATGATTGATGTATACTATACTATAGTTGCTAGTATATACTGTGTTGGCATTGGTTATGGCATTTGTTTGAATTATTTTGTGTGTTGTGATCATAGGCTGATAGAGAGTTGGCATCAAATGGTAAAACCCCGGATAAATTGAAGGCGGCTGGTTCTTTTCTCATGAAAGTTTTCGGTGTCCTTGCTGTATGTTTCTTTTGCTTCCTTCCTAGTCACTTTAGTTTCATTTTTGATTCAGTAGATACAAATATACAATGCTTCTATTATCATTGCCGCTTTTATTAGTTTGTGGGTTTATATAGGATTTTTCGAAAGGAAAATTGAAGCCTTGAAGGCATGTAACTGGTTAGGTGAGGACATGAGGGCTGCCAGAATTATAACCGTGGTATGCCATCAAGTTATCATGAGGTTTCTTTTGAGAATCCAGGAAAAGAAAAAGGGTTTATAGGGGGAGTTTGGTCGAAAATAGTTTTAGGGAGTTTTGGGAGAAGTTTGTTAGGTTTATAAGTAAATTTTTCATATCACGATAATAAATTTGGAGTTGCATCTATTGTTTAAATGGTGTTCACGAGTTAAATTCACTTAATGCATATTATGATGTAAGTTGGAAAAATGAATTAAGAATTTCATAATAAATTAGTAATGCACCATTATACTATATCACATATTCAGATCAATTAGAAAATTTGGAAGTTGAATTCACTGTTGTTTATGTTAAGAGAAAAACCTATACTACTTTAATGAGGTAATTCGAGACAATTTCGAGCGTAAAAGTGCACTTTAAGCACCTTTTTGACTTTGTCTCTGCAAGTTAGAAATTTGTCTCACTTAGATCCTTAATGGACATCATCCCTTTGCCTCATAGATTGTGTGAAGTAGACTGGAAACGGAAATATTATGAGGCCAAGATCTGGAATTTGGAGGCGATGACAAATCGTAAGGCATACCTAATACTCCCTCTATTGGTACTTTGGTAGGCTCCATTAGATTAGTCATTTCTAAGTATTTGAGTTAAAGTACTACAAGTATTCTTTACTATTTATATTTTTATATGTCATCCTTAGGAGTAATTAGTTCAGAGTAAGTCTAATGTGAGAAAGTTTAAAGTTTAGCTAACTAAATTTAGATAGTCGCCTATTGTTTTGGGAAGACCAAAAAAGACATATGGCGTATCATCTAGGGATGGAGGGAGTGATGATGACTTTAAAGTTTTTCCTCACCTTATATCCACTTGCTAAGTTGCTAGGGCTAATAGGTTTGATAAATAAAGTTCAGGGCGGTTAAGTTCCAAGGTTAATAAAGGAAATTGAAGTTTTATTCACAACTACAATAACTTATAATATGTTTAGGTTAATTTAGGGCCAATAAGTTTAGATAGGTTCAAGAATCAAGATAAGGTATTAAATTTAGATGAGTGAGATTACAGTGAAAAGAGAGCACCTTTAGATGAAGTTAGGGGTGATAATGATTTAGATCAAGCTCCAACTTGGAGTAGCTAGTCTCAGGTGAGCTCAACTTGGTTTGTAGCATTCCAAGCCTCCAACTTTATCGAACTCAAAGACTTGAAGTTTAATGTAGTTTTATATCTCGAACTAAATTAAAAATAATTTCAACCATTAAGCTCTTTTAGGTTATCTTTGCTATTATATTGGGATCCTCACTAGTTTGAAGTCTTTACTAGTAAATGCAAGCCAGAATTTTTTATATGTAAAGATTTAATGTTAAGATCTAGAGAAACTCACGAGCCTTGCAGGTTGTGTTTAGCACTTTAGCCCAACTCAGCTCACTAAGATCTAGAGTAGCTAACAGCCCACTTAAGCTCATCATCACCCCTAGACAGAGCCAAACTCTGAATCTTGAGCTTGGGATAAGTCTTTGCTCATCAGTGTATCACCTTAGAAAGAAAGAAAATTTTAAATAAAGGATTATTGGAAGGTATATGCAAAATGTGGCAAGTATTAGGGTTCCTAGGAAGTGGCTGCAGTTAATTTAATTGTACACGGTGTCATGGCTCCTACTCACATCATATCTTATAGAGAAATTGTGGATCCGAACTGGGGAGGGTGGGGGGGACCTGAATTTGATATCTCTGAGCATGCAAATGTAGGTAGAGTGGATTTGCTTGTGTTTCCCTGTTGAATTTGAAAGAAAAGTGTTATTCAACGAGGCCTATCACAGAGGATGGACATTTTAAAGGGGGTAACTGGATAAGTGAATCTAGAAGTAAAGAGATGATGGAGAATCTAGGACATCCGGAGATTGAGTTACTGAGGTTATTTTCTTTGTTGTGGCTTCCTTGGAGCTTGTAGATGCATATTGTGCTTTGTGGACTATCGTGTTGAGCTTAGCAAACATTTATTTATTTATTTAATTTATTTTATTTTATTTATATTGTTCTAAAACAACATTATCTATGTACAAAAAGATGGAAAAGTTTAAATTTCCAATAAATAAATGAAGAAAAGATGAGAAAATTTCAGACTCCTTTCTGTAAATAATCTGGTTAGCTATATTGTAAGATGTCTGTAGGCTAAATTTGCGAACTGTAAACTAGGCATATCTTGGGGCCTCTTGTTCTTGGTTTCTTATTATCTCATTCTATCTTTTGTTTATATAAAATCATGTATATGCATGGTGGCTATGTCTTCTTGTCTTCTGCCTGTTTACATTGAAGAGGGCTGTTCCAGGAACAATGCTTAGACTCATTTATTTTGATGGAATGCTGTTGATATGAGTTGCTGTGTTTGGCAGGGAAAAGGGCCAAAACGTGTTGGAGCCTTGCATGTGACTTGTCAGTTGTTCAAAATCTACTTCAAGGTGCATTTTGATTGTTGATTTAATCTCTTTAATGCCTTCTTTTCCATTCTGTCATAATCTTTTATCTTATCTCATAAATGTAAAATATGTGCTGTCATTTCTAATTTGTGTCACTCCTTCATAAGTATTTTAGAGGATGTTTCTTTCACCTTTTAGACTAGAAATTGATGCAAGGGAGGAATGATGACGGGTTCGCCTGCGTAATATAAGATTTTTTATTTTTAATTAATGAACAGAAGCAAAATCAGATTACAAAATAGCTCAGTTTCTTTATATTTCTCCCACTAAATAACTACTAAAAGCTCCCTTTGCCTTAGCCCAGGAAGATGCTTAAAAGAAATTATATCCCAAAGCAGATGACTAGCTAGCATGGTTCTTTAAAAAACTCGAGTAGCACTACAAAATTGCCATTGCTCCCAAAGCAGATGACTAGCTAGCATGGTTCTTTGGAAAACTCGAGCAGCACCACAAAATTGCCATTGCTGCATTAATGACATGACATCTTCTTCTTTGCTCTAGCTTCTAATGATGCTCCTTAAGTGAACTTGCAACAATTCAAAACTTTGGATATGTAATGCAAGGAGGGAAGGGGAGGGAATTGGAAGAATCCATTTTCCTTCCCCTTAATAAACCAAATCCTTCCATTGTTGTAGAGATCTAGAAGGAAAATGGAAGGTCACCTTCTCCCTCCCCTCCCCTCACCTCCCTTTCCCTTCCCTCTCTTTCCTTCCTCTCCCTTTCCCTTCACTATTGTTATCCAAACACAGTGTAAATGTCATATTATGTATAACTGGACTTAGTTTAGTTAATTCAGACTTATATAATCTTGATTATGGCTAAGGAAAGGAGATTGTTCTCATGATTTGATGTACTTGTATTATTTTCCTTTTTACAGCTTGGTACTGTCCATCTTTGTCGAAGTGTAATAAGAAGCATTGAGACTGCTCGTATATTTGATTTTGAGGAGTTTCCACCCAGAGATAAGGTACTTCTAAATGCATTTTTTCAAATGGTGTTTATTCTTGTCAAGATACATATATCAATAGATATGCTTATATTCAGGAGATATTGGACTCCTATGTTGTGGCAGGTGACTTACATGTATTATACGGGCCGACTTGAAGTTTTCAATGAAAATTTCTCAGCTGTAAGATTTTCTATTATTGTACAGCGATAATTTTCTCTTATTAAACCTGTAATTAGCTTAAGTCTTATACAAATGTTTGTTGGAGGATCTGCTGTAGTTGTAAGTTGTTAAGAAACTGTGATAAAACAGCTCTCTACGTTTAGTGTGAAATATTAAGGTTCCTTTGTACTCTTGTAGTTTATCTAGAAATAAACATACAGCTCATGATTCTCGAGTATTACAAGAATACATTATCTCATACTGTTCAGAATTTCAAAGATCAGCAATTAGAGTTTTTAAGTCAGATTGACAACCCAAACATTCTATGCTGAGAAATCAGTGTCTGCATCTCTTGACTGGTCATATGATTTTGAAGTCAGTCCATACATGAGCCGAATTTGTACTTGGTCCAATTGTCTGACCCTTTGTGATATTTCTGAAGCAATTTAAGGTCTCTCCAATAAGCAAACTGTTATTGTTTCATACAAGTATTATTTTCTAGATCAATGAATGACCACCATTCCTACTTAATTCATGTATCAACCAAAATGAAAGTCAGAAAGCTTTGTTTGCTACCTCTCCGTGAAATAGCTTCCTGGAAACATGTTCCATTTGAGAGACCAATCAGTTAAGCATGCATTATAAGCATGGAAACTGAACGTCATTCTGGTTCATTTAAGTGCTTGAGGCAGCTACATAGGACCAATTCTCATTCATTTACACTTAACAATTTAAAGAGCCATAGATCCTGAAAAATTAAGGAAATACAACATAAGGAATTAATTAATGGCTGGGAAAAGTCACTGGTGCTGCGTATATGTTTAGTAGCCTCAGATTGGACTATGGAATCAATGTATTGAAAGATTCTAAGAAAGTAAGGAAATAAAATATAAAGAATTAATTAAGATTATAACTTTTGGTTGTAGCCCTTGTAAGTATGGGTGAAAAAGTTAGCTGTTGAGGATTGCTCTTGAACATAAAATAGGTCCTCGATCTTCTTGTATCACTAACAACTCTCACAATTATGGAACAAGATCCAAAGCTCAATTCACTCAATATGTTTGTATTACTACTAACAAGTCACAATGGACCAACCAAGATCCAATGCAACACTCACTGAATCAACCTAGGACAAAATGTGTGCTAGTTTTGCCTTTGGATTTGTTAGTTCTAGTGGAAAATTCTGTTCATGGTTCTCGTGCATATCCTCATATCTAAAATCAGTGTCTCTAACCTGCAGGCTGATGAGAAATTGTCATATGCTCTGGCTCATTGCCATCCTGACCATGCAGCCAATATAAGGTATTGTTTGCATCCCCTTCGCAATCTCTGGTCTTGATATCTTGTGTTGTTTGAGAGTCACATTATACCTGTAGGTCAAGGGATATTCCTTTTTCTGCAAGCAAAAGGCATATACAAAGTATATATTTTTCATTGTGGTTCAAATGATTGACAGTTAATTATGCATGTTAATAAAAAAATAGTGAATTCTGCTTTGTTTTATTCTTATCCCAACAAGTTTTGTAGCTGACCCTTGTGCATATTATATTTGCAATGTAGTTTCATTTTGTTTATTATAGTAACCTTCATACTAAATTTTGATCCATGCAACCTTTCCACCTTGGCAAAGAAGCCTCAGTTTGCATCTCTGATTTCTTGGTATGAGATGTTGCCTGAACAGCCCTCCCTACATTTGCACATTTTGGAATACAGTAGAACTATTGAGATTCAAGCTCCCTGCCTTATTTATCTTGCACTTAAAATTATCCTTGTTGCTCTTTATACTGTATAGACAAAATTCCATGTTCGTGCTCAGTTTTTTACTTATTCTTACATGATTGAAGAGAGGGACGGGTTTCTTTTGTTCACATTCATTTGTATGAGTTTCCATACTTTTCTGCAACTTTTTGTATGCTTCTTTTTCTTTTTCTTACATGTATATTGGTTTCTTGGATATAACAGGATGATCCTGAAATATCTGATACCTGTAAAGCTTTCCATAGGCATCTTGCCTGGAGAATTACTGTTGCATAAGTATAATCTTCTTGAGGTGAATTATGTTCTTTGTTTTTTGTCTTCTCTTTTGTTGCTATTTCAATAATTTCCAAATGTTCTCCATGTACCAAGGATACAACCTAGCAAAGAATATGACTGCATATAGAAAAGAAAATCATACTTGATCAACTGAGTTAAAGCATCGTTTTCCCTTTAATATACTTGCAGAAAGCAACCATTGGGATTTTTATTATTGTTAACATATTTGATCTGCTTTTGTCACTCTCAAGTCCTACATTTATACGTGGTATTTGCATTATGCAGTACAGGGATGTTGTCTTAGCTCTTAGAAGAGGTGATCTGCGATTACTACGGTGTGCTCTCCAAGAACACGAAGATAGGTATATTTTGTTTTTATTGTTTGGCCCCTCAAATTATTCATTGGGTGTGCTAATTTACCATTGTGAAACTGAATTTTATTTTTGTTAGGTTCTTGAGATCAGGTGTTTACCTTGTTTTAGAAAAACTTGAGCTGCAAGTTTACAGAAGATTATTGAAAAAGATGTAAGCTCATTTTTTCTTCATATACGGGCTGTTCTCATCAAGCTGCTTATTCATGCGTCTTTTCACACTTGTAGCTATACCATCCAAAAACAAAAAGATCCAAGTAAAGCACATCAGGTGAAATTGGATATAATAGTGAAAGCACTGAAATGGCTTCAGATAGACATGGATCTTGATGAGGTGATTGATTTTTTTAATTATTATTTCTGCTACCGACCAGTTGCAATGGGGGGCTTAATCTTTGTGCAAATACTTTGATGCAGGTGGAATGTATAGTTGCAATTCTTATTCACAAAAACCTTATAAAAGGGTACTTTGCACACAAGAGTAAAGTCGTAGTTCTGAGCAAGCAAGACCCTTTCCCCAAACTAATGGGCAAGCCGGTGGGTCTGTGATATTTAAAAAAGGTTAACATCTTTCTGATCAATATGCTTCAAGTGTCAAGGCCTCGAACTAGTTGATGCAAAACAAGCTGACAGTTGTATTTATTCCAACTGCTGAATGAACGATTGATAGCCAATGCAGATATGCAGCTGTCCACTCTGAAATAGCCAAGGGATCGTAGACTTTCTTTAGCTTGGTCTCATTGCTTCCAAATTTTGACACGGCTTGTAAAATCCTGTAATTTATAGTTGATTGGCTTGTGTTAAACTGCTAATCAATTTCACCTGGATGTACTTTATTTGTATGTCTCTTGTGCTTTGGTTTAGTATCTCTAGCATAGCACTAACTTGGAAGAGCGTCAATGTGTTATTGTTTGAGACCTAAATTGTGTCTCCACATGTACGGTTGGGATTCACTAGTCCCAAGCTAGTCTCAACAATACTTATAGAGGTTGTGACATAATTGGGAAGGCAGATTTTGAATAAGATAGGCATGTTCCATAAGATTATTTGTCACTTCATTTTGTAGACTCTGAGAGATTTGTATTTCTCCGTATTAATTGTTATTTTGCGTACATATTTATAGAGGGTGTACGTTCTACATTGCAGTCATTGCAAGTTAACATTACGGCACTAGGGTATATGGTTGCCCAGGGGTTACCCAAGTACTGCCTTCAAACAGCATCTCTCTGACTCACATCCAGAGGCCAATGTAGTTTTTTTTGGGGATGAATTAATATGCCCCTATTAACGGTCCTCTATAGTTTGGCTATTGGGCAGGACAATGGGTTAGGCTTGGTATGGTTGATAGTAGGTTTGGCTCAAAAAGGGATATCTTTAGGCCTCATTTGGATCAACACGGGTTGAAAAATAATTGATGACGGATGTACTAAGATACAAGGCTTTTTTTTTCCTATTTATTTTGGTCCAATAAAACTCTTTACCTTGACCCAAACCCTATAATCCTATATGGCAATACCCAATAAACAGGCTACTTTGAAGAATTTGAACTTTGAACTGTAAATCAAAACTTAAAATTTAATCTTTCTACCCTTTTTTTTTTTTTTGGACAGACTAGTCGTAATTGTAACATTTATATCATAACTAAATAACCATAAAGCATTTATAGCCAACAATAATTACAACAGTGAACCAAATTACTAGCCTGTTCCACCACCATGAGCAAGAAAATTAAATTACCATAAAATCTAGAAGAATTAATACAAAATTTGCACTTATTGAAACTCAGACGTGCCAAGCCAAGCAGTAGTCATCACAACATCTGGCTCTGCCATTTGGCAATGCATAGGAAGACCATATGCAAGATCCAGGATTCAAGCACCACTCGCTGGAAGGTTTCTTTCGACATTTGAAGGCATTAAGATGTTAGAAACCATCAGCAGGAGTTGATATAATCATTCTTGAACAACATCCATGTTTCAAGCACCATTCGCTGGAAGGCTTCGTTCAACATTTGAAGGCATTAAGACGTTAAAACCATCAGCAGCAGTTGATATGATCATTCCTGGGATCTGGGCATGCCAATGTAGCTCCTTCAAGTCCTTCTGGCCCTGTAACACAATTGGCATGAAAAACAGTTAGCACCAAAGACAGCAAAAGACCAACTTATGAATTATGATACCCCTTAGTGATATAACCTGATGGACGAATAAAAGCTGTGGAGGCAATTCCACAGGAGCATCCACTTTGTCTTCTGTTTGAGATTTAAATTCTGCCTCTTCTTCTTCATCTCTTTCTAGTGCCAGATCCCAAATTCTGAATGGAGAGCATGACAGTATCAGATATTAAGCAAAAACAAGCATTATACATCACAACTAATCAAGTTATTCTTACGTCAGCTGATGGTCGGCTGAAGAGACTGCCAGTACAGAATCCTCATGGGGACTCCATTCAATCGAAGTGATGGGGTGTTTATGGTGAGTAAAATGTGCCAACATAGGTTCACCCTCCTGACAAGAAATGTAAGCAATTTAAGTATCAGAACAGAAAGCCTCTCCAGTCTATATCCATTCCTCCGTAACTAAATTAGCACTACATATACTTCGCATTATTTGTTCCCGAGGAGAAAAAAATTTGATTGAATCAATCATGAAACCAATTGGTGCTAGCCACAAACTTTGTTCTTACACAAAAATATAAAAAACTGCGTAACTAAAATGCCATTTATAACTCAATGTAAATTCTCACTTTCACATTTTACACCCCAATGATGAAAGGTTCTAATCTGACAATGCACATAATGACATAAACGGTCACATATTAACCAACTCTTGTTCAGTTATAATGTGGCAATAAGAAGAATAAACATTAACAAGTCCTCAACAGTGCCAACTAATCGGTCACATATTAACCTACTTTTGTTCAGTTATAATGTGGCAATAAATAAAAAGAATAAACATTAACAAGTCCTCAACAGTGCTAATTGTAGATATTATGACCTATATGAGCAAACAGGGTGAACATAATATTGCAAATGCAATAATGAAGTAACCTTTTTTTCATGTCCTTGGTCCATTCTACTATGGACAAAAGCTTGAACTAGAGCCCATCACAGAAACATTAGTGTGTGGGCTAGACAGGTTAATCACTGCTAAAATGAAAAGGTCATCAGAAACTAGGGCACATGACAAGAAGGAAGAGCTTCAAGGTATTAGCCAATAGCCACTAGCACATCACTAAAAGAATAGCAGTGTCGTTTTACACTAGTCAAAGCCTCTCCTAAATTTAATTGGGAACCCTCAAAGCAATTAAATATTGGTCTCATTTTTCATCTTCCTCACACATGCCCAACTATGACCAAGTAATCCTAATGGTTGCCCAACATTTTGCTTTCACATTCACTGTCCTGCTATCTCACTCTCTCTTTCTCTCTTCTATCCCCCCCCCCAACCCCTCTCCCTCTACAAGGCCCCTAATTCCCTAAAATTTGGTAATGGGAAAAAAAAATAAAGTTAGTTTTTCCCTGGCTATTGTCATGAGTCAGCACACCGGATATGAGAATTTGGGCAACTCCATGGCATGATCATCATTCCTTCTCTATTAACTTATTCTCTTCATGTTTATTACTTGTTTTTGTTTTAACTCTCCTAAAGAACAAGTCATGATCAAAAGCTGCGCATACTTTTAACTCTTCGCACCCAGAGAAAAAAAGTGAAAGAGAAAAGCATGGGCAATTTAAACTCAAATGCCTGACAAGAAGCAAGAACTTTAAAATCAGCCACTAGCAAGATACCAAGTGTGCACCAAACCCCAGCACCAGAAGATACACTCAAGCATCTCACCCAATCAAATTCAAACACATACATACATGACAGCTAATAGACAAAAGACGCCTCGGACAATGAATCATAATTTAGCAAATTCATGCTGATGAAAGGGGGAAAAAGGACTTAAAAGTTCATTCATTTACATGTACTAGCGCTGGCTAAATCAGCCCAGCCTGACCAATTGTTCAGGCTATCTTTTGGAGGTGTGCAAGGTCCAAATAGACTTAAGACATCAAACTTTTTAACATGTACTAGTGTACTACAGCTGGTCAAGTCAGCCCAGACCGACTCAGTTGACCAGGCCCTCTAATGCAGCTGTGCCCTGCCCATATGTAGTTTTCGGAACACTTTAGTGATCAGGCCTGATCCGATATTACCAGGTTCAGCCAACTTTTCAACCCAAAATGTTGCTCAATCAGATGCCTAGATCCAAACACAGACTTTTTGAGCCCGACCTGGCCATGACCAGCTCTAACAAATAGTCAAAAACCATGACAGACAGATATTGGCATTTTCTTAACCTGTTTGCAATAAGCACCAAGAAACACCTTAAATACGCATATCTCCCTGCCCTTCAATGCAAATTTAGTATCTTCTTAAACAAAAGAGGGCTACTTGGCTTGTTTGACTAGCTAATAATGTTTAACTGTCTGTATTGAGTTATCTACAGTTTGGTAGTTTAAGATATTAGGTACAATCAGCTTCAAAAAAACGCTCTTAAAATTAGCTTCTTCATGGTCCTATCAATGAAAACGCCGTTTATTCAAACATATATATATTTTTTTTTTTTTCCAAATTGTTTGACTACATTAGCAATCTAAGAGCCAAACAATGACTAAAAAACATTTTCCAAACAAAACCATATTATTAAAAAGATGATCTCTATCCCAAAAGCAACATTCTAATTAGCCAAGGAAATCCCTGCTTTAAGGATTGCTTTCATGGGGCATTAAAGCATTCCCAAATGTGCGCAGCCGTGCACACACACGCGCGCGCGCACACACACACACACACACACACACATATCCCACAGCATATTCTTTCTCAAACCACATTTCATTACATTTTTTTTTTCATTAAAGCAAACTGTGATGCTCGATCATTCTGTAAACTTTTCAAAGGTTCATAACTACATGCCTAAATCAGATGTTAGCTTTATTCGAAATATGATGCAATTCATTACGAATGATAAAGAAATAAGCATAATATAATGCGAGCTTTAAACAATCCTTATGCTTCATCCGTGCATAATATATTCATTAAGCCTCACACCTAAACAATTAAGAGAAGCATTTAAGGCAATCCAATCGTAGACAAAAGCAAAAAAAAGTATTTAGATATAGTTATGTTGCTTGAAAAAGAAAATTTCAAGTCACATATGTGTATTGGCCTATCAGATGCAAGACATTGTACCTTAATCATTTTAAGATTAAAAATGGAAAACGACCCATCATCGCTACCTGATGCAAGCATATAGCTTTGTAACCTGATGCCAAGAAAGTGTCAAATCAATCAAAATATGCGGAGTGGTAAAATAATGAATAAGATAAAAACAGAGAGATAACAGAATTTAACCTGTTCCATGAGATTACATTTACATCTGCATCATGGGCTTTAAATGACATTGCAGGAGATTTCCCCAAACGAGTATCCCATATTGCAATGGTCTTATCAACAGAGGCAGAAGCAAATACACAGTCCTCGCCAGGACTCCACTGTAATCAAAACAGGAATGAACAAAACAACATTTTACGTAATAATTCCTTTCAATTTCCTCTCCATACCTATAGAAAAATCAAAGTTCTTGAATATACTCCTCAACTCCTGCCTAAAAAAGAATCATTTAAAAAATACAAAAGTGTACCTGCAGATCTTCCACGCTAGCAGTGTGTCCAACAAATGGATTCTTATCAACATTCCATTTTGTTCCAGATGCGGGTTCCCATAAATAAATAGAATTTTGACAATCACCTACATAAAAATAAGCAACTGGTATCAGCAATAAATCATCAAAGAATCGTCAACAACAGAATGAATGTCACACAAATATAGTCATCTCACCAGTTACAAGTTTCCCAGCTTCGCGGGGACTCCAATCCATGGCATATCCTTCATCTTTATGTCTGAACATACTCAATGGTGCTTGATTAGCCACAGAATTTCCACCCCGACTGGTGTCTGTTGATTCAGCTAAGAAATTGAGATGAGCACTAAAGTCCCAAACCTGTAGACAAGATTCCAAACTGGTGATAAAAGGCACAAAATAAGCAGGGTGGCCGGTAGCCATGGGTGTACACCTCAGTACACCAACATAAAAGTCTACACTCTACATGATTGTAGTGCATAGGAATTCTAATACCCTTTGAACTAACCTGCACGAAACCTGTATCCCCCCAAGTTGCACAAATGTGGGGACTTTGTGGCATGGATCGAATTCGATTAATGCATCCTTGATGAGCCACCTTGCGCAGCTGCAAAATATTCAAAACACTTAGTAAAATCTCATAAATATATGAATGCAATGGCTCGTCGATAACATGTTATCTCTATCTCCGCCGCATAAACATCTCAAAAAGAGTAGACCAAGCCCATGAAGCTGAAATTAAATGCAAATGAGTTCTTGCCTGCAATATAGGTTGTTTTGATCCATGCTCATCCTCATCATCATCATCATCACTGTCACTATCACTTTCCATCTCTGAGCCATCGGCAGCCTTTTTAGGTACTAATTCACGCCTTTTTCCAGAAATGTTTGATACCTTGAATATTTCAATAGAATTCAATGATGGTTTGTCTGCCTGCAAATGAAAAATCATCAATTTAGTTAAAAAATTAAAGAACCTATAAGCCTGAATATGGAAAAGGTCACAACTTTATAAAGGAAACAGAACATTCACGGTAACCAATACAAGAAAATGCCTTTACCATGTAAACCAACACAGATTTTATGTTAAGTAACTGATAACAGTTAAAAACAATTGATAGAACTCACCTGAGTTCCGGCGACAACATAGACGGTATGAGGAAATTCAGTTCGAACCAATCCTAGAGTATCTTGAATAATATCAAAACTGCAAAATTAATCACACAAAAATACAAAAAACCAATGAAGGCCTTGATAAACATTTAAATACAAGTATAAAGACCTCAAAAACACGAAAAACACCCTCCACTAAATGAAGATTAAAGCATTATTAACTAACATGCTAAGGATTTACAGCTCCCAAATCAGTGAAATGAAATAACATGAATCTTCAACAACCCAAAAACCAATACATATTACAACATTGCCAAATAAATATACAACCTTTTTCATTTCCCAAATAATTTTGTGCAATAAACCATGAAAAAGTTGAGGGAAAAAGAGAAAACCTTAAACAAGGCCAACCCATATGGAAGGCATGATAAGAATTGTAAGCAGAAGGGTCCCACTGAAGCTCTTCATCTTCTCCGACAGTATCAACACCTGGTTGCCATACTCGTGCCGGCGGCATCGAAGATGATGATGCCTCGGAATCATTTGAACCCTAAAACCAAACAGAAGCATAATTAATTTAATGGCAAAAAAAAGAAAAAAAAAAGGTATTCTTTTTAGGAGAGGGAAGAAGAGGGGGAAGATTGAATAACCTTGGTCTTCTTCTTTTTAGCTTTCTTGGGTTTTTTAATGCTTCGTGCCATTGTTTTAGATGTTCAAGCTTCAACAATGGTTGCCGCTGCTGCTGCTATTGAAGAGAGAGTGCAAAAGAGAGGAGGGGAATGTCTGCAAATTGAGTTGGTGATTTATGTGTCTTCTTGGGGGTTTAGGGTTTATGTGAAAAGTTAATTAGCTTTTTTTTTTTTACAAGAGAAAATTTAAACTTTTTTTTTTTTAAATTTGATTTAAATAATCCAACCTTTGCCCGATTTATTTTTAATAATTTAACCTTTTGATTATTCCACAATAATCCAAGTTTTGGGGGGTATTCTATTCTATTAGGTCAAACCGGTTACTAACCTAGAATATCAGGTCACCTTGCCAAGTGTCACGTTTTGATTCGTCAAAATATAATTTTTTAAAAAAATTATACATTTTAAAAATAATAATTTTGTTTTTACCTTTTTTACTCTTTTTTATTATTAAGAATATTAGCCCCTTCTGGCAAGCGAAGCTCCCTTTTTCCGGCCATCCCTCCCTTTTCCAATAACCCCTCCCCCTTGCCCTCCCTTTTTCGGTTACTTCACCCCCTTGCCCTTCTTTTCCAGCCAATCTCTTCCCCTTCCCCTCTCTTTTCGCCTTCCCGGCCACCCTTCTCTTTTCCCTTCCTTTCTGTACATCCCTCCCCATTTCCTCTCCCTTGATCAACCCACAACCCTTAAAACCCCAAATTTTAATCTTTAACACCATCTCAGATTTGTACACAAAACCCAAGACACCCTTTCGCGAAATTTTGCGGAGGGAAGTATCTAAAGCTCAGGAAATTAGGTTGACGGTTTGGGTGGGATTGATGGGGAAAGGGAAGGGAAAGGAGAGGGCGACGGGGATGATGGAGAGGAGGCAGGGGGAAAGGGGACTAGGGGAGGGTAGGTCTGTTCACGGATCGGATATCTGATTCGAAATGTGATTTCGGATCGAATATCCGGATACTCGGATTAGAAATTGATATCCAAATCCGATCCGAAAATTTCGGATCGGATGCTTCGGATATCCATTATCCAATATTAAGTAAAATTGATTATGATTACTTCCTAAATTTCATTAATTTTACCGCTTTTTTATCGCTAATTTGTACAACATATTTTAACAAAATAGTAATCTTTTTGCAATAAATATTATCATCAAATATATTAAGAATATTATATTAAGTTAATAATACAGGGTTAGTTTCGTATGAAAAATTTAAAAAATTTATATATATTTCACTATTTCAGCCTTTATATTTCAGATATCGGATAACCGAAACTTTAAAAATCAATATCCAAATCCGCATCCCGATCCGAAATGAAAATTCGGATCGGTTGCGGCTCGGATTGTCAAATTCTTGGATAGTTTTGTACAGGCCTAGGGGAGGGAAGTAGCAGTAGCAGTAACAAGAAGGAAAGTTTTTTTTTTCTTTTTTTTTTTTGGTTTTGTTAAGTTAAAAAAAAAATTACTTGAAGAACAGATAACTGGTCAACTTGGCCTAATAAAATAGAAAACCCCCCTAAGTTTGGATTATTCGTGAATAATCAAAAGGTTGGATTATTAAAAATAAATCGGGCAAAGGTTGGATTATTTAAATCAAATTTTCCTTTTTTTTTAATTTAATTCTTTTTTTACACAAAGTTTCATACTTCCTCCAATTTTATTGATAGTTGCAATAGTTTGACTTTTACACTATTCATGTGTTCCACTTTGACTAGCTTTGATGATTTATAACTATGCAAAAATATAGTCATATGAGAGCTTGTTAGATTCGTCTCGATTTATATTATTTTAATATCAAATGTTTATTATTTTTACATATTGGTAATTAAAGATTTTAACAATTGAAATCATGCATCGGCAAGCGTGAAAAAAGAAGTGTTGCAACTATAAGGAAACAGAGGAAGTATGTGGATGGCCACACCGTGTGGCCAGGGTAGCTTATTCAGAAGTTACTCCGTCAGTCAAGGATTACTCGGCCGGTCAGAGATTACTCGGTCAGTTATAGAGGTTACCCGGTCAAGAGTTACTTGGTTAGGGTTACTCATCAATCAGTCAAGAACTACTTAATTATGAATTACCCTATCGGTCAGTGGTTACTCAATCGGTTAGGGCCTCAGGGGTTACCCGTTTAGTGTTTTGGTGTGTGTTAGCCGGCCACACGGTGTGGCTTTTAAGTAAGGTAAAATAATAATAATAATAATAATAATAATAATAATAATAATAATAATTTTGTTTTTTTTAGAGTGGTGATCATCAATTGCCCGCTAGACCGGCCCAATCCGGCCGAAAAAAAAGTTTGGTTTTGGACAAGGCTTAAAATGCATTCTTAGTTTAAAACCCGAACTTTGTCTAAAAAAGACTGTTTTGGCCCGATAAACCCTACACTAGCTATTTTACGGATTTGGGCACAAGATTTTTTATCACCTCTTAATTTTTTTTTATTTTTTTTATATTATATTATATTGATTCTTTGCCACAATCTTAACTTCATGATGCTTTAGAAGGTCCAAATGAAGTTTATTTTGAGCATAACATTTGTTTGACCCAACTTAATAAAATACTAAAATTACCATAATGTCCTTGGAATAAACCTTAGACCAGGAATATTCTAAAAATCATGCACATATCCCGAGAAACTCTGATACGGCTAATATTCTAGAAATCATGCACATATCCCGAGAAGCACTGATACGGCTCAACCGTGCCTAACTCCAGCGGCGGAGCAAAAAAATAGCAAAAAAATTCAAACCGGAAGGATAAATGGACATCACATAGTTTTGACAAAATGTTAGAAAAAATTAATACTTTTAGTCTTTTACACACCAATAGCTAAATAGTTAATGTATTACAACTCAAAAAATCCAAAATACGGAGTATTTAGTCAAAATAATCCAACATCAAATACTAATTCTTTCTCTAGAAATATTTGCCTATGGGTTCGGAATTTATATATATATATATATATATATATATATATATATATATATATATATATATATATATATATATATATCGAACTCTAGATCCCTTGAATGGTAACTCATTGTCCTTACCACTATACCATCTCATTTGGTAAGATGTAAAATAGCACTTAATTATGATTTTTATCTGATTTTTTTTAAAAGTGGGAGGACAGTTTTCTCCCCTTGTACCCTGCTGGCTCCGTCAGTGCCTAATTTGGCCTAAAACGGTCCAGAACCTTTATCCAAACCCTAATCAGTCAATTTGTTCTCTACAAACTTTCACTCTTTAAACGATTAATTGACTTGACCTTCAGAGGGTCTTTCTTGGAAACACCCCTAAAGCAGTTGACTTTCTCTATTTTGTAGGACTCGGTTTGACCAAACAAGCTGGCTCCTCCAAACTCAAATTTTGGAATTCTTTTGCAGAGACAATTGGCGTCGAATGTGGGGAATATCTTCAACATACAAAAGTCATGGTAACCACAAGTCGAACCGATCCGTCCCAAAACGTCGGTGGATAGAATTACACCCAAAGTCAGTCACGCCCACCCCATAAACCACGGAACAATTAGCAATCCAATCGTGAGGAACAAGGAGATAACTTGGAGGTAGAAGAACTCATCGATGAAGGGAATTTGCAGCCTGTCAACAGGCAAAATCTGGAAAATTTGACCGAACAATTGAACACCACTCCAAAAAACCATCAAACAGATAACTGAAGCAATGAAGAAAAATCAAGCGAGGCCTTCTCACAATCCATAGAACACGTTGGGGAATCAACAAGCCCTCGATCCCAAAGGTGGGAGAACTTGATCATGACCCTCATTCACTATTTTATCATTACCCTTGATACAAAAATTAAAGATTTTTAAAATATGATGATATAATTCCGATATAATTTTAATCGCAAGATTTCATTTTATGCTAAATTTACACTCACACCCCATACCTTGTACTTAAATATTGTGTTGCTAGGCGCAGTCGCCTATACCTTGTACTTCTTCTGCCAATTTTGCCAAATAACTACACTTACAATACATTTAGAAGAAAAATAAAATTGATTCATGGTTACGTTACTACAGAAAATTACCTAAAGTAGTTAACCAAATTACAAAAGGCCAAGTAGCAGTAATCTTACTTAAAAGTATAAATCCACCCTTGTAATTTACTGTAAATTTTACTTAAAAGTATAAATTCACCCTTGAAACTACTCCCATGCAATGGATCAAACGACAGACCATTGGCCAATATCATGCCAAAGATACGGACTTTCTGAAGAGTAATGTGTTTGCACTACAATTTGGGCATTGAAAAAATGCAAAACATTTGCGGACTGCACCAAACCAGACAAAAGCATAAGCTTAGTATCATCGTATGTTGCTGCCAAATACTCCATGCATAATATAGTATCAAGAGTATCAACTTATGGTAAACCATAGAAATTACGTTCACAGGCAAAATGCCAACATGATCTAACTAGCTGCTAGCATTTAAAAAATTCTCCACAAAAAAAAATGATTTTAGAACACAAGAATGAGAACACTTCTGAATATAAATTGGTTTAGCATTAATCTATCACTCAGCAAATAACATCTCCAGCAGTGTTGATGTCAAGTATTGGCAGTGATAGGTTTTCCAAATAATTGAACCTCACTGCCATAATCAAAACATACGTAATAATACATCACTGTGCGATTAAATTGCTGCCACCCTGATTTTCCAGTGACACTTTAAAATCAGCTCAAGGCATCAGAGATTCTCTGCCAGGCCAAACTATTCAGTAAACTAATAACTCGTCAAGGTCATAAACACCAAAAGAATCACGCTACACATGAGAGGCAATAAGCTGTCATTCTGAATCAGGTGAACCACCAGGAACCAACTGCATCACCCAACTACATCAGTTAAGATTTAGTTCTAGTCCTTGTATAATAATTTATCACAAAGAGACCAATCAATCAGCCTACTTACAATTGCAATATTGTTTCCATTAAGCAGAATCTGATCAAGTTTTGTGATTCTTCGTCCTTCAGCAGTAATTTCACTGTCATATATATAATCGAGAGATCAGATAATGAAGGGTAAAAATCAGCAGCGATACAAAGTTAAAAATAGATTTTGACATCAGATACTCGACTCTACCATGCACCAAAAAAGAACCATAACCATACAGCTCAAACGATGATGGGAGACGAGTCAGAATTCAAGAGAAACCCAAAGCAATGATCTGATATTGAACCAAAAAGGTAAGATTAATTGAGCAAAGAATCTAAAATTTATTTGTTTCTCTAGAATCACATCATCGATCTTTATACCAGTTTTAAGAGTGGTATCTAAGATGTTATATGTAATTATCCATGAATATTGAACTTTGAGAACCATGTATATTGAACTTTGAGACTTACTCGCAAAACCTTCCCTCAATAGTCAGCTAATAACCAGCACAAATCACGTTCCACTCACTTTTATGTACTCAAGCTGTATAAGTAGACAGGTTCACTAACCTCCTACCTAAAGAATCACATCATTTGTCCAGGCTCTAGCCAGTCAAAGGTATCAACCACCAAACTTGCACCCAGAACCAACCACCCAACCGATACAAATTGTATAATTGATTCCTCAACCTTTCAAAAAGGATTTACATTTAAATAGTCACCCCAGAACCAACCTGCGTTAAAATAGTAAAAGAAAAGAGGGAATACCATTGTTAAAATACAACAAGTGGTAAACCTTAAACTAATATTTTCTCACCAAATCAGCTGTGACTGTGTGAACCACCTTTCTCACCAAAGACCCTTCCAGGCAAAAACACATTATGTGAACAAATGTCAACCCTTATTAACCTTTGAACATAATTTTCTAGAAAGTTGTCTTATATGAACTGACTAACCCTTGTCAAAACTTATCAAATAAGTGGAAATAAGATAAGGTCTAGACACACCTCTATCCCTCATCAATCTCTATTCGATTTCTATGTTCATACTTGAACTCAAAGAATCATTGCTCTATTCCCACAAAGGTACCAACAAAATATAAATGACTGGACCAAAATTCACTAAACCATAACATGTCATACTGTAATGTGAGGTTCATGCTAAGTCATAGCGCTAGACAGAAATTCTATTAACTCTTCTAGTTGTCTACACTCTACACACATAGAAAACTTAAAATTTCAGATGGGGGACTTTAAAAATAAATAAATAAAAATAAAAAGTTGCTTAACATCCAGCTTTAATAATATCAAAACACATTTATGATTTCTAGTTGGTCTTAGTATCCAAAATTGGCATTTAAGCAGACCATCCTTTTGTCCTTTCCACAATTTCTTTTCAGCATACATTACCATATATTAATAATTGTGTAGAATCAAAGTGGCGTACAAGGAATTGGTGGAGTGCATAAATGAAGCATTATAAGTGGTGTCTTAATCATAAGATTCATAACATTATACCAGGAAAGGTTAAGGATTTAAAACATTTTATATGTTGATTAACTTGACAGTGCCAAAAGAAGGCTCAGCTTGCTCAGCTTACCAAAGCATTTTAACTGAATTATAGGAAAGTATATTCATCAAACCCACAAACTCTGCAGATACAGCTTTAAACTTTTAAATCTAGTCCTTCAAACAGGTAAAGTGAAGCAATAATGGGCAAGTCTGCTAGCATCCTTGAAACTAACTATTTAACAACATGTCCATAGTTACTTAATAAACAAAACCATCACAAAAACAAGACATCTTCATATTGCAAGGTATGCCATTTAACCAGAACTATGCCATCACAGCCATAACTATTGGCTATATAGAAGTATCTCCAAGAAGTAGGAGGTCCTCCCTCCATACCAATATAAGTTGTCTTAAAGACTACGCACAAAGTACGGAGTTATTGAATGTTATTGTATTGGTACATAAAGTCAAGTGTTGCATTAGAAATTAAATTGACTCAACAATAGCACCTTGATACTTCAAGTGACATAAAAATATGAAAGAGTAAGTCAAGTAGTCCATATCATGGAATAGAGAAAATTATATTAACCAGGCTCATAATGCTCAAGTGATCAGATAACATAAAAAAGAAATTATAAAGAAGAATGTAGATCCACAGCAAGAACTCGTGGAAACCACATCTTGTTCTTAACTCTAGAGGGGTAAGATTGTCCAAAAACCTTGAAACACTTACTTTAAGCACACTCTAATCCATTTTCCAATAAGTAACCTCCATACCTTAGTACGAAACCACACAAAGTAGACGATAGATGAACACAAGTAAATGCTTTAAGTAGTCTCGTAATGGAAATCATGGTATAGACATAAAAAGTATTGGGCTCATAGTTTTAAAATACCAGTTTCTACCAATCTTAATATAAAGAGTCCAAATCATGGTATAGACATAAAAAGTGTTGGGCTCATAGTTTTGAAATACCAGTTTCTACCAATCTTAATTTAAAGAGTCCACTAGATTCAGCTAGTTAATTTGAACTTAATGCAGCTTGATAGAACTGCAATAGCTTTTACCAAAAGAACTACAGCTAAAAACAATATCATCCCTTAAGGTATCTATAAAACAAACAAAATTCTACAGGAAATGACCTAAAACGATATATTCTATCGCCAACGCATAGCACTCAAATAAACATCCATGTATAATCCTTCCATGGCAGGCTTTTATTCCCATTGAAGTTTCAACAATGAAATAATTCAAACCCACTATAGTATTGGCCTATATAGGATTTGATTCCAAAGTAATAGAGGCATCCTGAACCTGAGCCAATCAGCCAAATGCATATATTGGCCAACCCACTAACACTATTACAACAATCCCATCACCAACATGATGCTTCTTGACTTGCGTCTCACATCAAGAAGTTCCCATTTGTAGAGCAGCCCACACTAAACAATTAATTCACCATGTCTTGCACTGAACTCCAAGCAGGATCAAATTCCCTGCAGCCCCTACTGTCAAAAATGAAATCTTAGCACCCTTCATAAAGGGTGTCTTACCTAAGATGCATGGACCAACTCACACAATAACACCCACAATACAACCCCTTTAAGAAGTTTCACAATGCTTTTAAATTAGTCATATTGATCCTAATTAGAAAATGTTCAAAAAGAAAAATAAACGGATCTCGAAACAAAGGGGAGAACAAAGAGTAGGGAAAAAATAAACCCTGAAAGCCAAACATCAAGATCTCCATGACTTAAAAATTCATGGCACAATGAAACCCAACTTTACTAAGCCTCCTTGTAGACAGCAATACATGGGAGGCAAATGTTTTAAATAGTAAAAGAAAAAGGGGGGAGTTTGAGAGAGGGAGGATTAAAAAATTCTACCCCACTAACAACCAAAATTTGTAACTACTCCTACCGTCCTCCATTAAAGAGTACAAGTTTGGAAGGAGAAATCATAATGGCATTCTGTTGATTATAACCATATGTTTCAAAAAAAATAAAAATATCTGATTATGCTTATAATCTTTTTTATTTTATTTTTTTTTTGATATTTTCGTGGGGGCGTTCCCTACTCAGCGACGCGCTGCACTTCCTAGACCTGGGTGTAGTGATAAGTATGCAAGGGTTGCTAGGTCGTCGCCCGGAAGCGACACGCCACATTGCCCGAGTGTGGTGTCAAGGGCGTACCATTGGGGCCAGACTCGGGTGCAGTGATAAGTATGCAAGGGTTGCTAGGTCGTCGCCCGGAAGCAACGCGCCACATTGCCCAAGTGTGGTGTCAAATGGTCAAGGGCTACAGCTAGGGACAAGAGGGAGCGTGGTACAAGTGCGCGGGGTATGAGGGAGCGTGGGAGAAAGGACTTTAGTTTGCGGATTGGTTCTTAGAATGTGGGGTCTCTTACGGGAAAATAAGCAGAAGTGGTAGAAGTGATGAAGAGAAGACGCGTAAACATCTTGTGCCTCCAAGAGACAAGGTGGACAGGAGAAGGAGCTTGAGGCTTGGTTTTGGGGTATAAGGTGTAGTATGTTGGACAGAAAACGAGCTGCAGGACTATGAATGGTGGAGCTAGGAACGGAGTTGGTGTGATCCTTGATAAGAGGTTGTCGAATGAGGTAATCGAGGTCTATCGGAAGAATGATAGGTTAATAAGGTTGAAGTTGTTATGTGGCAAGGAGATTGTGAATGTTATTAGTGCTTATGCTCCCCAAATTGGTTTGGATGCAAAAGAGAAACGACAATTTTGGGAGAATTTAGACGAGGTGGTACATATATATTGGAGGCGATTTAAATGGGCATGTTGGGGCGAGCCGAGATGGCTACGAGAGTGTTCATGGAGGCTTTGGGTATGGGCAAAGGGACGCAGGTGATGAAGTTATTATGGATTTTTCCTAGTCATATGATTTAATTTTGGCTAATACTTGGTTTAAGAAGCGGGATTCACACTTGATAACTTTCCGGAGTGAAGTAAATGCAATACAAATAGACTTTCTGCTCACAAGGAGCACGGCTAGACAAAGTTGCTTAAATTGCAAGGTCATCCCAGGAGAGAGTGTGGTCACTCAACACCGACTTTTAGTTATGACCATTCGTTTGAAAGAGAAGGCGAAGAAAAAAGGAAGACAAGAGGAGCCAAGGATAAGATGGTGGACTCTAAGGGATGCAAATGCTAAGGTTTTTACAAAAAAGATAATCAAAGAGGCGGATTGGATGGAGAGGTGGATCTGGACATGACTTGGTTACGAATTTAAAATTGTTTCCTGAGAGTCAAAGAGGTCTTAGGGGAATCAAGGGGAAGAACTTCGATACAAAGAGATACTTCGTGGTGAAATGAAGAGGTGAAAGCAGTAATTAAGCAAAAAAAGGGAATGCTATCAAGCCTTAGGAAAATGTAGGAGTGACGAAACCTTTGTAGCGTATAAGGAGGCTAAGAGTAAGGCAAAGGTAGCGGTTCGACAAGCAAAAGAAAAGGCTTATCAGGAGATTTATGAAAAGCTTGACTCCAAGAAGGGAGAAAAGATCATTTATAAGATGGCAAAGAGAAGACAAGAGGCAAGGAAAGATATTGGCTTGGTAAAGTGTGTCAAAGATATGAACCAAATGGTCTTAGTACAAGAGGAGGACATCAGGAAGGGGTATTTCGACGAATTATTTAATGGAAGTAATGGAGTTGTGACCGGAGATACCTCTGTGAGTGATGAAGAAATCAACATAGAATGTGCGGAGGATTAGAAGAGTTGAGGTGGAGATTGCACCGAAGAAGATGAAGCCTAAGAAGGCGGTTGGCCTTGATGGTATACAGATAGAGGTGTGGAGGTGTTTGGGTAAGATTGGTATTGATTGGTTAACAGACCTCTTTAACAAGATATGGAAGACTATGAGGATCCCGCAAGATTGGAGGAAGAGCACCTTAGTCCCGGTTTATAAAAACAAAGGAGACGCTCAAGAAGATTATCGAGGGATCAAGCTTATGAGCCACACCGTGAAGCTGTGGGAAAGAGTGATTGAACATAGGTTGAGGGCATGCACAAGCATTTCGGATAACCAATTTGGTTTTATCCCTAGGAGATCTACTACGGAAGCAATCCATGTGATAAGACAAATGATGGAGTTTTATCGGGTAAAGAAGAAGGATCCTCATATGGTCTTTATTGATTTAGAGAAAGCATATGACAAGGTGCCAAGAGAGGTACTTTCATGGGCAATGTTGAAGAAAGGTATCCCACGAAGGTACATGGATTGGGTTAAGGATATGTATTGGGATGTGTCAACAAATGTGAGGACGTGTGGAGGGTTGACAAAAGATTTCCCTATTACAATTGGATTGCATCAAGGACCTACATTAAGCCCTTTCCTTTTGGCAACGGTTCTAGATGAAGTAACTAGACCAATTCAAGATGAGGTTCCATGGTATATGTTGTTTGCGGATAATATCATTTTGGTGGATGAAACTAAAGATGGGGTTAATGCCAAGTTGGAGCAATGGAGGCAAAGGTTGGTATATGGAGGGTTTAAGCTAAGTCAGAGTAAGACTGAATATTTGATATGTCGCTTTGGTAATTTTGGATGGAAAGGAATTGACAATGAATGAATGTTTTAAGTATCTTGGATCGATCATCCAGAAAAATCAAGAAGTGGCCCACAGGATTAAACCGGGGTGGCTTAAATGGAGAACGGTCACAGGAAGCATTCCCTTATAGTTGAAGGGAAAATTCTACAAGATTGCCATAAGACCAGTGTTACTCTATGGTACCGAATGTTGGGCTTTTAAGAAGGAGCACATTAAGAAGATGGAGGTTATGGAAATGCGCATGTTAAGGTGGATATGCAGGAACACTCTAAGAGATAGGATTAGAAATGAAGTTATTTGCAAGAAAGTAGGCGTGGCAGGCATTGCAAACAAAATAAGGGAAAATCGCCTGCGTTGGTTTGGGCATGTAAGACGGAGACCCAAGGGTTCACCGGTTCGAAGAGTGGAAGAGTGGGACCATGGAGGGGTTAAACAAGGGAGAAGGAGACCGAAAATGACTTAATTGAAAGGAGTTCGGAAGGATATGAAGTATATGGATTTACATGAGGATGAAGCATTGGATCGTAAGGGATGGAAGAGGAAGATTTTTGTAGATGACGACACAGAATAATCAAATTTGGTTCATGTACCCGACCCCACTTATGGGATTAAGGCTTTGATAGATTGATTGATATAATCAGATGTCTTCAGAAAGGTGAGAGAAAGGGTAAGATAAAGAGGATAAAAATCAATATTTTATTTAGCAGACCCACCCAAAAATAAGAAATGGAGAGTTTGACAGGGGACAAATGACATGAAAATTGTAATGGGGCAGAGCGAGTAACAAAGACAGGCAAAAACTCTAAAATTACAGGATCTGGTAAACAACTAAACAAACTTTGATTTATTGTTCCCTAAAGCAGAAATCACTCCCATAAATCCCTAACTAGAAATCATGGTTATCGAAAACGCAAAAATCAACTATGTTGACATAATCTCATCCCAAATATTAGGCATCACTCATAAGCCACAACCAGATTAAATCACCCAACATTTGAAGACTTTCCTGATTCTTTTCCCTTTGCCGTGTAAATCTCTAATCCAAGCCAAATTTCCCAAACTTTTAGAAACCCCAATGTAAAATCTACTCATTACCCAAAAAATGTCCGATTTCATATATTTCTGTACAAACCAGAGTGAAAGGGTCACCACTGCTTAGGCTCTCCTTCCTAATCTTAGATGGGTCGTCTGAGGGTTCGCCGCAGTTCCAAAAGACACAGCTACAATAAGGGTCACAGCTAAAATACTCTAAACCCTAGCATTTAGCTCAATTGCAACATAATATGAGTAATTCAATACTTAAACGCTAAAACCCTAAACCTTGAATTGCAGCATATTATGAGTAATTCAATTGCAACATATTAAGAGTAATTCGATACCCAAAGGTTAAACGCTAAAACCCTAAACCCTAAATTGAAAAAAAAAAGAGCAAGAACAAGAGGAGAGAGAAAGCATACTATTCAGTAACATCTTCAAGGACCATGTTGACATAGACATCGAAACCTCGAAGAGTGCCAACAAGCTCCTTATCTCCCTTCATAATCACCCAAATTTTGGAACCTATGCATCTGTCAATCAGCTCTGCAAAGATTCAATTTCCACACCAAAAATTAATCAATTCAATTGAATTCGAATTCAAAAGTAGGAAAATAGAGATTGAAAATTGAAAGCAGAAAAAAAAAAAAAAAAAAAAAAGAACCTGAAGGAAGGAGTTGGGAAGGATTGTTTGACGACATTGGAACTTAATATCGGAGCTTACAGAGAATAGAGAGAGAATTGGGGAAATGAGAGTTGTCACTTCGACTAGCTTCAACTGCTAAACCGCCGAATCACCCGAGGAGTGATGCACTTAAATACTCCCGTCATTAGGCTCCTTTCTCTTCCCGTTCAATACTTTATAAGTTTTTAAATAGACCTAATTCACACTAATTTATTGTGCACCACTAACATTAGGTATATTATGATTGTTTTATTAATAAAAAAAAAGTTACTATATTAAAATAAAGATTATTAGGTTGAAATAAAAGTCATTATAACATTATAAAAGCTATTATTAAAATCCCGATCTAAATTTTAAAATCTTACGATTTTACGATTTATGTATGTCATAAGATTCGATTTACGATTCTACCTGATTTTACATATTTTTCTTAACTAGCAAAACACTTTCAAGTTTAAAACATGCCTACAAAGTTATTTATGAATATACATTGTCAATTAATGGTTGCTTAATGGGTTAACAACTATCTTCTATTATCTCTCTTTCTTCTCTCTCTTAAACTCTAGCTTCCATTGTTAATTTTGAAGGGGCTTCCATCATATTTCACCGGTGGAAAGCCTCAATCTTTATTTCTTTTAAGCTTTTTGTTTTTTAAGTTATAATAATGTCTCCCTTGAAAGAAATGGTTTATTTCCTTTGAAAGATAAAGTTTTTTCGATCTCATTAGAAAGACAAGGTTTTTCGTACTTCTTTGAAAGACAAGGTTTTATTTGCGTTTAATTTTGTCTCCTGTTGTGCGGGGTTACGATTGATTATGGTTCGGATTCGGGTTACAAAATCAGCACAAGAATTTTCTTTCTCACAAAATTGCGAACCGATGACGGATCCACTCAAAAAGTGGTATGAGACAACAAATAGAGAATGTGCCGAATTGTGATATCTATGTATTTGGATTCTTAGCCCTTCCCCGTTTAATTCTTGTTTGATTTGTTAAATTCGTTTTCATTATCATTAATTGTCAATTATAGATATCGTATGGCTTTAATTAATGAAATTTAGTGTCCTTTAGGACTTCTTTAAAAAAAAACAACTATTTTCTTTTATAATTAGGTTTTAAACTCATAATTTAAATATATTTATTTGAATTTGGATATGACGTCTTGATTATACATGTCCGTAGAATCTTACGATTCTACAATTCGATTTTACGTTTCGATTCTGAGAGCCCTTTCGATTCAAAGTAGAATCTCAATTTTGATAACTTTGAATAAGAGTTTTTTTTTTATATATACTGGTCAATATGAATAATAAATGTCACTATGTTAAAATTAGGGTCACTATGTTCAACATAACGTCATACTTTAGGTTCACAATAACATTAAAGGTCACACAAGTTTTAATAAAGGTTACTATGTTAAAAATAAGGTTACTATATAAAAATTAGGGTCACTATGTTCAATATAGCGTCAATTGCGTATATATAAACCCCGGGTCCACAATAATATTATTGTGGACTAGGTCCATGCAAGATTTTATGTTAATACTCTATAAATTAGTAAAAATAAATTCAGTTTAATAAAATGTTATATGACATTCACAGATGAAATCTAAATTAATAAATACATTATTCCCTCCGTTTTTGTTAAATGCATCTTGTTGATGTGTGGTGCTTTTGGAGAGTAGTATAATACGGATTATTGTGAGTGAGTGAATAATTTATTATAGTAAAAATAAGATGAACATCATAAAAGAGAAAGTATGTAAAAGAGAATAAATATTTTTATTATTTAAGTAAGAACCATTGAGAGAGAAATGATAAAATAATTTAAGTAGTGTGTAAAGCAAGAGAGAGAAATGATAAAATATAGTATAAAGTTAACAAATATGGAAGTGATGCATTAAATAAATAAATAAATAAAAAGCACTTATAAAAGGGAATTCAATCAATCAATCAAAGTCTTTATCCTATAAATGGGGTCGGTTACATGAACCAAAAGTACAAGTGATTATTCCGTATAGTCATCCACAAAAATCTTCCTCCTCCATCCCTTACGATCAAATGTCTCATTCTCATGCAAATCCATATAATTCAAATCCTTCATAACTTCTTACAACCAAGTCATTTTCGCTCTCACTCGCCCTCGTTTAACCCCTCCATAGTCCTACTCTTCCACTCTTCGTACCGATGCACTCTCAAGTCTCCGTCTTACATACCTGACCAACGCAGGCGATTTTGCCTTAGTTTGTCTGCAATGCCTGCCACACCCACTTTCATACGAATATCATCATTTCTGATTCTATCTTTGAGAGTAGTGTTCCCGCACATCCATCTTAACAAGCGCATTTCCGTAATCTCCATCTTTTTAATATGCTCTTTCTTAGAAACCCAACATTCTGTACCATGGAGCAACACTAGTCTTATGGCAGTCTTGTAGAATTTCTCCTTTAACTGTAAGGAAATGCTCTGGTCACATGTACTCCCGTAGCCGCTCTCCATTTAAGCCACCCCAACTTAATCCTGTGGGCCATGTATTGATTAATGTCACCATTTTTTTGGATGATCGACCCAAGATATTTAAAACATTCGCTCATGGTCAAGTCCTTTCCATCTAATTTCACTACATCATCGCTTGTCCACCTCTATGTACCAAAGCGGCATACCAAATATTCATTCTTACTCTGACTTAGATTAAACCCTCCAGATTCCAACCTTTGCCTTCATTGCTCCAATTTGGCATTAACCCCATCTTTAGTTTCATTCACCAAAATTATATCATCTGCAAACAACATACACCATAAAACCACATCTTGAATTGACCTGGTTACTTCATCAAGAATCGTTGCATAAAGAAAAGGGCTTAATGCAGACCCTTGATGCAATCCAATTGTAATAGAGAAATCTTTTGTCAGCCTTCCACATGTCCTCACATAAAAGGAAAGTGATGCATTTAAAAAAAAGGAGGGAGTAAATACATGCAACTCCCTCCGTTTCGTAATAATCGCAACATTTTAACTTTTAAACTATTCATATGTTTAATTTGACTATATTTTTTACCAATATATAAAAAAAATATGTTGACATATAAAATATTTTTGGATTTCTTTTAGTATATGCTCATTATATTAACTTTTTATACTTCTTATTAATATAGAATTATAAATATTAATGGTCAAAGTTGTGCATTGACATGTGTGGCGCTCAAATTGTTGCGATTATTATGAAACGGAGGGAGTACCTCAATTTCTTATTTTGTGCAACTTTTACCAAATATGGATGTTAAAAGTTATGTGCAAAGATAAAAAAGGAAAAATTGTAAATAACCACCCTTCAAAACACTAAATTTTGATTTTACCACCTGTTTTTTTTGTTAAATAACCACATCTAAAATTAAATAAAGTTAGATTTTACCACCTCTTAGCATTTAGTTTAAGGAAAAATGGAAATAAATAATCTCACCTTTCACTGGTCTTTCCAAAATAATCCCACCTATTGATTTTTCCAAAACAATCCCACCTTTGCCCTCCAATCTGCATCTAACGATCCATTACTTGTTGATGACCAGTTTTCTTAGGTTTTTTCCATGTGTCGACCTTTAATAGGTTTAATTTTTTTAATAATTAAAAGAAAAAAAATAATTTTATTAAAAAAATCTAAGGTCAAGCCCATTGATCAACGACCACCCTTTCCCTACCCCCTGCACCGCCCTTGGCCTGAATGACCACCTTCCCTCCCCCATCCCTGTCTCTACCTTCTCCGACAACCCAATCCCTGTCCCCGTCTTCCCCTTCGATTTTAGACTTGAATCAGAGCAGCCATATATTGTTGGTGATGAGAGCAGCAAAAAAGGAAAACGGAAAGGGGAGATGAGGGGGGCTCTATTGGGTTGGTGTTGGTGTTTTCGGGGTGGGAGTAGGTGTGTCGAGGCTGGTTAAGGGGTTTTCGTGGTGGGGGTGGAGGTGGGTGTTTTGGTGGTTGATGTTTTGGGTGGTGGCTAGGGTTTCTCGGCGTGGGTAAGAGGTTTTCGGGTCTAGGGGTGGGATTTTCGGGGTCGAGGTTGGGTTTCGGGGCGGCAGGAGGGTGGGGTTGGGGTTTCGAGGCGACAAGTAGGTGGGGCTTGGGGTTCAGGGTAGCAGGGGGTGTAGCCGGGGATTTTGGGGCAGCAGGAGGGTGGGGCTGGGGTAGCACCTCTAGCGAAAGTGGAGGGTGGTTGCAAAAGGGAGGGGCTGGCAGCAACAGGTGGGAATGGGGTGGCAGTTCGGGTGGCAAGGGGTTTTTGGGTGGTGTCTATAGTGGTTGCCATGGAAGGGGGATGGGGAGGTGGGAGGAGAGTAAATTAGAAAAAAAAAAACATCATTTTAACCTGTTTAACAGGTTGCAGGTCAAATGGATCTTTAAAAGAAGATCCATGTCAAAGGTGGGATTGTTTTGGAATAATCGAAATTTTGGATTGTTTTGAGAAGATTTAGCAAAGGTAGGATTGTTTTAGGAAGACCGAGCAAAGGTGGGATTATTTATTTCCATTTTTCCTTCAGTTTATTTTGTTTATGACAACTTTTTAATTCATTTTTTTTATCACTTATATACCCCACTTTGTGGACCCAATCTTATTTAATAACTAAGGTGGTTAACGCGCACGACGCACCATAATTAGCCATGTTTTGGGAGCTCATGCAGTATTTGACAATATAATGAGGGAAAATATTTAAACAAATATTTTAAGGAATATAATGTCAGCATACTATTCTTAAGTGGTCATAAAAAGACAATTAAAGTTAATAGTGAGGGAAAATAAGTAAATAAATATTTTAGAGGGTATAAGTAAATAAATATTTTAGAGGGTATAAGTGTCCAAACACTATTCATAAGAGTTCAATTATTAAATCACAAGGAAAAACTTTGAGCTGAGACAATTAACATCATATCAATAAGGGCATATGGACAAACCACCATTTGGACAAATTGGTAAATAAGTATTTTAGAGGGTTTAATTATCCAAACACTATTTGCAAGAGTTAAATTATTAAATCACACAAAGAAAAGCTTAATTAAAGACAATTAACATCATATCAATATAGACATTTATGTAAACAAACATTATTTTAAGGATATTAGGGTAACTAACGCGCGCGATGCGCGTACATATTTAGCCATGTCAGGG